TAAACCCTGAACCCTAAACCCTTAACCCTAAACCCTAAACCCCAAAAAGCAAACCCCTAAACCCTCCACAGCACTGCTGGCTGTGGGTTCATGGGCTTGCAACAGAGCCCAGCTGCGCTGTGGTTCGCCTAGGGGCTTGAAATGTCACCGGCCTAGGGTTGCAGGTTTAGGTTTTAGGGTTTAGGGTTTAGGGTTTAGGGTTTAGGGTTTAGGGCAGGTTTAGTAATTCCAGAAATAATGATCATAGCAATCATAGTACTGAGAGTACTAGTAGCAATGCACGCAATAAGAGTTATAGTGACACTATAGAGCTGAGGACCAGTTCAGGGCTTAGGGTGTAGGGCCCCTGTAAGGACTTACCATGCCGCACAGATCCGAAAGACGACTGCGCCGTCCGCTTGAAACGAGCCCTTACCTTCCGAGCGCACACAGCATCACGAGCGTGTGGTTTGCCCTGTGTCGTCGCGGTCAGCGCTGCTACCAGAAACTACGATACCACGAACGCCATGGGTTGCCGACCTGGGCGTGGTGACGAGAAAACTGAGCACGTGGGGGGTCGCTTTGCTGCGGCGGCTGCAGTGCTGCGCTGCACGGGATGGGGTACCACGTACTGGGCGGCCACCATTCGGGCTGCAACAAAGCACGGGCCTTTGCTGCCTTGGCATGGCGGAGTGGCTTCCTGGGCTTGGGAAAGGCTGGCAGAGTGCCCCGGATTTGGGGACCGAAACTTTGCCTGCGCAACCCGCCCTCCCCTCCACGTGGGGCTGAGGCGACCTTAGCGCCTTCGATCTTCAGCCTCCGCACGACTTGCCAGCACGGACTCAAGCACTGGTTAGGGTTTAGGTTTTCGGGTTTAAGGTCCAGCTTTGCCAAAAGCTACGAGTTGACTTCAGGGGTCCAAACTCCTCGGCGAGCCACATGTTGGCGGAGGGGGTTCCGAAGACACCTGCCACCCCGCAAGCAACAGATTTCGGAAGGAATGTTTGGAGTTGGGCCTTTTGCCTTATTCAATCCCGAAACTCGGCAGGAAGTACCACGCTCGGGTTCACCAGTCTTTTGTGTCACGAAATCTGAAGCTGTAGATACAGCGTGGTGGCAGCAGCGCAGAGTTCTGCGGAGATGTCTTTGGGTTCCACCGGAGCCAGAACGAAATTTTCCCTGGGAGTAGACCAGCAGTAACAGGCTGATGGTAGACAACTTGGTCGTTCAGCGCAGGCAACCCCAAACAGCAAGAGTCGTACCGGTAGACCCCAAAGAACGAAAGCCCTGCACGAAGGATGTTGTGGTGTCTTCGGGGGGTGGGGGGTATGCCTTAGGGGGTGTAAGGCAAAAAACATCCGTCCGAAACCCTTAAAACCTGAACCCTAAAACCCCTCCAAAGCCCCCAAGAGCCAAAAACCCTACAATCCCTACAAGCCCTGAACAGCCCTAAAAAGCCCTAAACAGGCCTAAGAGCCCTAAAAAGCCCCAAAAAGCCGTAAAGACCCTAACTCCAAAGGCCCGCCGCAAGCCTTGGACGCACCCGTTGCTGGCAGGGCTTTGGCTTCAGGAGGTTTAGGGTTTAAGGGTGTTCAGGGTTTAGGGTTTAGGGGTTTAGGGGTTAGGGTTTAGGGTCTAGTTTTAGAGGGGGCCTAAAAATAGATGCCCTAAACCCCGCAGACTCAGACTCAAGCCTGCGCGAGCCCCTCGTGTTTTTGGGGCGCCTGGAGCTGGACCAGCGCGCAACGGAAATTGAGTCATGTGCAGACCCGGTCCGGGAAGACAGGCTTCTCGGAGCTTTATCCCACATAGGCTGTTGGATTGGCCACCGGGGGTCGGAGAAGCAGCCCTAACGAACTGTTGAGTTAGCCTTAAACGCTAAACCCAGGGAACATCTCCCAGGAGTTTTCTTGGAATGCCCAGCTGCAATGGCAAGTTCGGATGACCCGAAACCCTAAGCCCTAAAACCTAAACCATAAGCCCTAAACCCCAAACCCTCAACGCCCCAAACTTTAGAAACCCCAGAAACCCCAGAAACCCTAAAGACCCTCGAAACCTTAATCCCCCAAGAAACCCTACAAAACCTAACAACCCTAAGAACCCTAACAACCCTAACAACCCTAAACCCTAAACCCTCAATGCCCCAAACCCTAGAAACCCTCGAGAACCTAACAACCAAAACAACCCCGAAACCTGAATCCCTACGCCTGCTGCGCCCGGACCGGGTGTGTGCCTGGCATCTCGCAGCTGAGGAGTGCATGCGTCTTGAGGGTGCTACACACACACACACACACTTTCCGCAGGGTTTAGGGTTTAGGGTTTAGGGTTTAGGGTTTAGGTGTTTTTGGGCTTTGGGGCCCAGACTTTCGCGACTCAACAAGACCGTATCCACTGGATGTTCAGTGCCTTTCAGGAATCTCGGGCGTCCTGCCGGCAAGCACACAACAGAAACAGTGAGAGACATTAGTGGCATGACTTGCACCCCTACTGGTAGTGATCGGCAGCTCGACCCTAAACCCCTAAACCCTAAAGCCTAAACCCTAAACCCCTAGGCCTATGGGTTTCAATTTCTCGGGTTACCTGCCAGCCACGAGGCTTAGCCACTAGAAGTACCACCTTGGGGTGAGGGCCGTCCATGGACCAAGAACTCACGTGTAGGGGTTTAGGGTTTAGGGTCATCCATCTTAGGTTGTGTCCCCTTTCTTCTGATTCATGATCTTGTTTGCATTGAGGGTTTAGGGATTCCCGTGGTGTGATGCCCTTGCGCCGCACCAACTCCCAGCAGTTATGTTGAAAGCTCTTGAATTTGCACGACAAGAAGTGCCCAGGGGAGGGAAATTGTTGGAAGAATCGGTTTGTTTAGGGGTTCAGGATTTAGGTTTTCACTGGGGCGGAGCCCACATTGCCCTCACCTTGACATTGGGGTAGAGACGCAGCTGCTTTCAGACCCGAGGATTCGTTGGGTTTGGGGTTTAGGGCGTCGGTCAGGAGTCTAGAATCCTTTTCTCTTTTTGCGCGAAAATTTCCCTCCGCGATGCATGACGCAGTCAGGCGATTCCCGACAAGCGTGCTTGGGGGACGGAACGAGGGCTTCCTAAGCGAAGCCCCAATGCCTTTGTGCTACTGCTCATCCCAGGCGGCAGACAGTTTCGAGGCTGTTTTGAGGGAGGCTCTTGAGAGAGGAAGCCACTTAACGCTCAACTCCTCAAACCCCAGAAAACACCTCATGCATACGAGCAAGGTGTTGCAAAACGGTGGTTACTTAGCCAGTCTTACGCAACTCTTGGGGCTTTAGGGGCTCAGGCTTTCAGAGCTTCGGTTTTGGGGGTTACATGGTGACCATGTGTTCTTACAGGGCTCCTCAACAAGGGTCTCCCGCCCTCCCCAAAACAAACTGCAGATGTGGATGCGCAAACCGCACGCCACTCCTGCAACCGGGGCCGTAGCGCCTGGACCATTTCCAATCAAAGCGCGGACCAGCCGAAAGGTTTTTTGTCATTTTGTGAGCCTCAGGGCTCATTTTGCTCTAGGAATCCCCGCAAACCCCATGGACCCTGCACCCTGATGTGTCTGTTGTGGGGTGTTCCAAGTTTGACAGGATGTTTTTTGAGGCTTCGGAGCTTTAGGGGAACACCATTGAAAAGCCCGGATGCTGCGAGAGGCCAACTCGCACAGGTAGAATGTGCTGCCCTGCCCGAAACCCTAAACCCTAAACCCTAAACCCTAAACCCTAGACCCTAAACCCTAAACCCTAAACCCTAAACCCTAAACCCTAAACCCTAAACCCTAAACCCTAAACCCTAAATCCGGAATGACTGAACCATGGCATGAGTCGCTGGGACCCAGAGTAGGCCCTTATTCTTCGGGTTTTGGTTCCCTTATGAGCCCCCCAGAATGAAAAAGGGTACCCTTCATTCCTAGGTCACTCCAGGGTCTAGGTTGCCTCCATAGGGTTTTGTGGGCGAAAGGGTGGAGTTTAGGGCTTGCAGGATTTAGGGGTTTTGGGTTTTTAGGGTTTAGGGTTTTTGGGTTTGGGGGTTTTGGAGTGTTGGGGCTTTGTGGGGTTGAGGGCTTCAGGGCTTTTATAGGATTTCAAGCTTCGTTTCTTTGTTTTTCGGTTTCCGCAACCCTTCGATCATCCGACCCTAGAAGTCTCGGCATCGTATGGTCTGCGTGCACCTAGCGGAGAAGCATGTTTAAACCCCTCAAAGGTCCGGGCATCTGATGATCAGTTCCTTCCGTTTCTTCCCGAACCCCAAGCCCGTGAGATGCCCACTCTCCCTACAAATCCTGAAGTCCCTAGACTCCCCATTGACCCTCAACACCAAATCCCTCAACTCCCTAAACTCCCTCAACTCCCTAAACTCCCGAACCTCCCTAAACTCCCGGACCTCCCTAAACTCACGAACCTCCCCAAACCCCCGAAGCTCCCTAAACCCTAAACTCCCTAGCCCGAAACCCCCAAGATAAGTCCTGTAGTCGAAGAGGGTCAGGGTTTAGGGTTTAGGGTCTGGGGTCTAGGCTTAGGGTTTGGGGTTTAGGGTTTAGGGTTTAGGGTTTAGGGCCCTTAAAGCCTAAAGCCTAAACCCTACATCCTAAATCTGATTGTTGGGTGCCACGCCCAGCCACACTGGTTGGCTGGAGAGAACTCTTTGTCTGAGCTCGGTCGGGGGAAAAAGTGCTTCCGTCGGTGTGGGCTCCTATCCCCCTGGCATGGAACCCCCCGGTATGCAAAAGAGTTCAGGGTTTTTCAGGGTTTGCCCTAAAAACCCCAAGAGGTCTTTAGGAAGGCAGCCTTTAGGAGGGCCAGCTTCAATGAGAACTCTCACATGAAAGAGAGAAAGCTCCTTGAGACAGACGCTCAGAGTTCCTCAACGCCCGTGAACCCCTCAACCCTCAACCCTAAACCCTACGCCCTATACCCAAAGAAGCCCTAAATCCCCCTCCCCCCCTAAAAAAAGCCCTAAGCCCTAAACCGTGAAACAAAAACCAAACAAATCTGAAGCTGCCCTGTTTCGCAGATCGACGAGGCAGCGGACCTGACAGGCATGGCATCTTCTTGACCTTTCAAACCCTTGTGAGGAGGGTGTAAGGGGGCAATTTAGGATTGTGAGTTTAGGATTTAGGGTTTGAGGTTTAGGGAGAGGCCCATACCCCTAAAACTCTACACCCTAAACACGCAGCCGAGAACACCCCTGAAGGCCTGGGCCCTTACATTCCTGAAACCCAAGACACGAACACCCTAAAAACACCAAAACCCTAACACCTCGAGACCAGAACTCCCCCCTCCCCAAGCGCCCTAAAATCTAGGGCTTGGGGCTCGGTCTGGCTTGGATTTCGGAGTTTGGATGCTTCAAAGAGTCTGAGTTTAGGGTTGGGGGCTCGGGGATCTGGATAAGGTTCGAGGTCCGGTGCCAGCTCAAATACAACAAACCCCCTCCACCCCGAAACACCCCAAATACCCCAAGCCACGAAGCCCAGAACACCTACAGCAACCCCACAAGCTTCAAACTTAGGCCCACAAAAAATCATAAACCTTAAGCCCTTGAACCCCCCAAAAGACCCGGACACCCTCAGCCCTAGAAACCACCAGGGACCGGTCTGTTCCTACCGCCCGGTGCCCTGGATCCTGTTCCACCACCGCAGGCTCTGTGCGGGGGGGGGGGGGGGGCTTTGGTTTAGGGGGTTTGTGGCTGCAGGTTGGGATGTTCCCCCTTACCTTAATAGGGATTATACTAGGGGGGTACTGTAGTCCTTGTGAAGGGCTGTTAGTATAAGGGGCAACATTCCAAGCTCTAGGGGTTTTCGGGATTTGGGGGTGTAGGGCTGAGGGGTTTTGTGGGTTGTAGGGTTTAGCTGGTTTTGTGGGTGCAGGGTGTAGGGGTTTCGGGGTTAGGGTTTTGGGGTTTTGGGTCTTAGGGTTTGGGGGTTAGGGTTTTGGGGTTTAGGGTCTTAGGGTTTGGGGTTTGGGGTTTGGGGTTTAGGGTTTAGGGTTTAGGGTTCAGGGTTTAGGGTTTAGGATTTGTTAGGCGTACTAGGGGTTGCTCAGAGTGTTGGTTCTTAGCCTTCATGTTCTAGGGTTTAGGGTTTAGGGTTTAGGGTTTAGGGTTTAGGGATTAGGGTTTAGGGTTTAGGGTTTAGGATTTGGGGTTTGGGGTTTAGGGTTTGGGGTTCAGGGTTTAGGGTTTAGAGTTTAGGTTTTAGGGTTTAGGGTTTAGGGTTCAGGGTTCAGGGTTTAGGGCTCTTGGGTCTATGCCGGAAGAACCCTGAGCCAGCATGCCCCCTATGAACTCCCCCACCTCCAGCCCTGAAACCCTGAAACCCTAGCACCCTTCAAACCCCTAAGGCCCTTAAAACCCAAGAACCCTAAGGCCCTTAGAACCCTACAACCCTAGAGCCAAAAACCCTGAGGGTTTACCCAAAAACCCCGAAACCCCCAGACCCTGAACCCTAACCCCTCAAACCCTAAATGCCTAACCCGCAAAAGCCTAGAACCCTAGAGCCCCTCAAACCCTCAAACCCTCGAACCCTCGAACCCTCAAACCCTCAAACCCTCAAACCCTCAAACCCTCAAACCCTCAAAACGCTCAAACCCTCAAAACCCTCAAACAAACCCTAAACCCTTAAAGCCCTAAAGCCCCTAAAACTTAACACCCCAAACCCTAAAATCCTCAAAAAGCCCTAAAACCCTTCAAGGCCCTAAACCCCTGAAGCAGTGCCGGAGGACAAAGACAAAGGAGTTGCCTCCGCACCCAGGAAGGGCCTCCACTTTCACTTGGAGGCCGCCTGGAAAATTGCTTCCGTTCGCTTCTTGAAGGATTTAGAGTTTGGGGTTTCGGGTTTAGGGTTCGGGGTTTAGGGTTTAGGACTCAGGGGAACCTAAACCTTAAAACCCTGAACCTAACCCCTGAAACCCCTAAGGCCCTCAAACCCTAAGCCCTAGAAAGCCCCTCCACTCTCCACTTTCAGGGCACCCCCCTCCCTCGCAAACCCCTTGAACCCTCTAAACGCTCCAAACCCTCTAAACCCGACTAACCCTGTACGAACCCTATAAATCTCATAAACCTGAACAAAAACCCTAGGAACTCTATATAAACCCTGTAAAGCCCCAAACCCTCAAAAAGCCCCCCAAAACCCCTCGGTAACCACCCTCCGCAGTCCCAGGGCCCGCGTCTACCCCAGCTCTCGGGGCTGTCGGTAGCCGTGGGAGCCGCGGCCGGCGTTTTGGCGGACGAGGCACCCTCTCGTTTTTTCTCTCAGGGTTTGGCAGCTTTGTCCATAAGGGCTTTTCCAAAGTTCCCCTAAATTACTTTTCAATCCCATACATATAGAACTTAGATATAAGCCTTAAGTATGCCCCTGGAACAACCCGAAACCCTGTCTTGTTTGTTTGGGGAGGCTCTCTTTAGAGTTGGGTCTGTGGGGGTGCTCTGGGGCTTACCATACCATGCTGTTTGAGAGCGCTGAATTCTTAGAAGCTGGAGGCAGGCTGCGAAAACACCAAGATAATGCCCAGAGCCTTATAGCTTATAGCGGTTGAGCTTCATAGCTTGAGCCCTAAACCCTGAACCCTAAACCCTAATTAAGCCCCTTAAACCCTAAAACACGCCCCAAACCCTAAGCCCTAAGCGCCCCAAACCCCTATGCCCCAAAGCCAGAAGCGCCCAAAATCCCATGAAGAAAACCCATTAAAGCCCATTTAAAAGCCCATGAAGATCCTCTGAAAAGCCATATAAAAACCCTACTTAACTCCCTAAACCCAAAACCCAAAACCCTAAACCCTAAACCCTAAACCCTAAACCCTAAACCCTAAACCCCTACGCCCCAAAGCCAGAAGCACCACCCCACCCCCCACCTCACCTTGGGCGCAGGCGATCCGCCGCGATGTTTTCCCTAAGCTCGCCACGGCCACGGCCCACCTCCTGGAGTCGAAAGTGACGAAGCGGGGGGGGGGGGGGGGGGAAAGGGTTTAGGGTTTAGGGTTTAGGGTTTAGGGCTTAGGGCTTAGGGCTTAGGGCTTAGAATATTTTTCGGGGGTTGACTGTGTGTTTTGCGTACTAGCTCTAGCCGGCGTTTCGTCAGAGTTTCAGGCCAAAAAGTCTTGGGGCTTCTAAACCCGTAAACCATCTAAGCCCTTAAAATCTTAGGCCCTAAGCCCTTAACCCTTACGCCCTCAGCCCTACAGCTTAGGGCTCACTACCTGTTGCACCAGAAACTCTGTAGAGTTTAGGGTTTAGGGTTTAGGGTTTAGGGTTTAGGGTGTTTGGGGGGTCAGGGTGTATCGGGTTTAGGGTGTCGGACTGCCACGGCAGGGCGTCGAACAGAAGACGTTCTGGCTTTCAGGGCGTCGGCATCTTTTTTTGTTTTAGGTAACTTAGGACCCGAAACCCTTTTCTAAAGTTGGCTTCACCCCACACCCTACCCCCTGATCCTATGTAAACCCAAATTCTCGCATATCCCTTTTCTGCCTCTATCCCCAAACCCTACCCACACCCTAAGAAAGTGCCGTCTTCTGGCGCCAGGGCGAAGAAGCTCGTCAGACGTTTGCGGCGGAGCCGTGAACGGCGCTCCAGCTCTGTTTGCGCCGTTCTTGTTCAAGTGCTTCGGGTGTAGGATTTGGGGGCAGCTAGGGGTTTTGGGCTGCAGGGGGTCTTTTAAGGGCTTTGCAATCAGGGGTTGGGTGTTCAGGTCCAGGGTTCAGGGGTTTAGGTCTTGAGCAGGGATTCAGTCCACTTCCCTGGACTCTTATATTGAATGCGAGCCTCATCGCTGCTGCATGTACCTTTCAGGCCGGAAGCCATTGCACTGCAACAGCAACAGCTCCTTTGCAATACTCCTCCACATGCCTGAAGCCCAAACCCTACAAGCATGGAGCGTTCGATACAAAGGCGTCGCGAGCCATAATCCAGAACCTTGAACCCTGCACTCTCAAACCCAAAGACCCAAAGACCCAAGAAACCCTAAACCCTCCAACCGTGGACCCCTCATTCTCAACCCTTACGGATATATGTATATATATATATATTATCGAGAAATACTATAGCAATTCCCCAGCAAGCCACAAGTATACTGTAATTCAGCAATAGGACTAGGACTTCGAGTAGGCCCCTATTCCCTTTTGTTAGGGTTTAGGTTCCCTTATGAGCCCCTTTCAGCCTTTCAGCCAAAACAGCACCCTTTGTATTGCCAGGCTACTCTTGGGCCTAGATAAGCAACCCTAAACCCTAAACCCTAAACCCTAAACCCTAAGCCCTAAACCCTAAACCCTAAACCCTAAACCCTAAACCCTAAACCCTAAACCCTAAACCCTAAACCCTAAACCCTAAACCCTAAACCCTAAACCCTACAGCCCTCAAGCCTCCCTGCCAGGCCCAGCATCGATGTGGCGCCGGAGCCGAAGAGGCATTCGAGCGGCCACTTTGCAGGCGACGGAACGAACCGCTTGCGGGGTACGATCCCGAAACCTTAAACCTCAAAAACCTTCTGCCCCTGAACCTTGCCCTCCCCCCTCCCCCCTAGGGTTTAGGGTCTAGGGTCGGGTTTTGGGGTTTAGGGTAGTGTTGGTTGTTGTGGAACGTGGGTGGCAAGCAGCTTGGGCTTCAAGAATCAAGCAGTGTGGCCCTCAGTCAGCCCTCCCTCAACCCTCAGCAGAATCTACCCATTGCTTAAGAACCCTCCCACAAAATACAAGTAGTCTTCCTCAGAAGGGTAGTGTAGGGTTTATTCTACTTTTCTTTTTTCCGTTTTTGGGGGTTCTCTAGGCAAATAGTAGGAATGTAGGGTTTCGGCATCGCTGAGCCCCTCAACCCTAAGCCGAAGCTGAGCCCGAAATCCTCAGGACCCGAATCTCTACGCGCTAACCTTTAAGGCAGAAGCCATAAACCCTAAGCCTAAACCCTAAATCCGAAGCCCTAAGCCCTCAGCCCTCAGCCCTCAGCCCTAAGCCCTAAGCCCTAAGCCCTAAGCCCTAAGCCCTAAACCCTAAACCCTAAGCCCTAAATCTAAACCCTAAACCCTAAACCCTAAACCCTAAACCCTAAACCCTAAACCCTAAACCCTAAACCCTAAACCCTAAACCCTAAGCCCTAAACCCTAAACCCTAAACCCTAAACCCTAAACCCTAAACCTTGAACAGCTTCAACCCAAACCCTCGGAGACCCTAAAGCTCCTATAGGGCTGGTGGCCCTGGGCTTTGCCTCCTTCCTGCTCGCGAAAAAGCGCGCAGGCGGCGACTCTGTTTAGGGTTTAGGATTTAGGGTTTAGGGGTTTAGGGGTTTAGGAGTTTAGGGTTTAGGGGTTTAGGGGTTTAGGGGTTTAGGGGTTTAGGGGTTTAGGGTTTAGGGTTTAGGGGTTTAGGGTTTAGGGTAAGTTTAGGGGTTTAGTAGTGTAGGGTTTGGGGCCCAGGGACCCTCATAGGGCACAAGGCCGACAAGGCCCGCGGCCGACAAAGTCTTCTTACGACTTCTTTTGTTGTAGCTTTATGTCGTTCCCAAGGGAATATACGAATTGTGTTGTCTGGTTGTTAAGAAGGGAGTAACCCTAAACTCTAAACCCTAAACCCTAAACCCTTAAGCCCAAAATCCTAAACCCTAAACCCAGATGGATTGATACCAATGCTCTTTGGCCATTGTGCAGGTAGGGCTTGGCTGGGGTCGTGGGATTTGGGGTTTTGGGGTTTAGGGTTTAGGGTTTGTGTTGCTGTGTCGCGGATTGAGATGGATGCATCAGGCTTTATAGTGTATTGATTGCGCCTTTGGGGGGGGGGGGTTTCTGTTCTGATGGGTGCCTGTGGGACCCTAAGCAGAAACCCTAAAAAGGGGGGTTGGCCCGATGGCCCTTCTATCTCCAACAAAAAGCCCCGAATTCATTATTGCTGCGGGCTCCTCCTCTTCGAGCTAGTAGGGTTCAGGATTTTTGGGGGTTAGCCCTTCACAAGCGACCGGCGTGAAAGTCAAAGGGTTTGGAAATTGTTTAGGGGTTGATGTGCTGAGGTTTTTGGGGTCGAAGAGTTTAGGGGGTTGAGGCAGCCACCCGCACCCACCATCCCTGAACCGGACATTCGACTGACGCATTTAGCTTGCGCGTAGCGAAGAGTTAGGGGCAAGGCGTACTCCCCGTTGTCCCGGCGCTTCAAATCTTGCCATGGCGCTGTCTTGCATCAGCGAGTTTAAGGGGGATGGGTTTGCGGATGGCCTGGTCAACCAACCACCTCGCCTGCTCGGAGCTGTCGCAAAATCAATGGCAGATGTAAAGAAGCCCTACAGTGTGATCAAGCTAGAAGAAGACATAGAGAGGCCCATCGAAACCACCGATGAAGCTGTCTCAGAGGAGGAGCCCACCCCAATGTGCGCCGGTTCGGTTACGTCCACTCCTTCTTCTCACCCTTCCTGGCACGACGTCATGCCCATGAAGGTGCCAATCTCGCCATCACGCTGGAAGGAGATCGCCGCCCAGTGTTTACTGTCCCCGATGCACGCGACAACCGCACCCAAGAGCTCTCAAATCATGGATGCAACCAACAAGCAGTGCGTCAGGGCCCCACCTGGACTCGAGACAATGTTCCCCCAGTCGCTGGAGACTCCGAAGACCTCGAGCTCCCAGTGCTCCCAGTGCTCCCTGAGCTCCAGTGAACAGGAAAAGCCCTACGAGGCCGTCCGGCACAGGGGGGGGGGTTCCAACCTGGGACTGTTTCTGCGCCGCTTCGTCTTCACTGGGTTCGATGCCGTCAACCATGCTGACTTCGATCTCGTTCCCCGTTTAATCGGACGTGGCGGTTGCAACATGAGTGCGATCCGGGAGGCATGCAACGCCTACATCCGAGTCAACAAAGGTGCTAGCATCAAGAAGCCGGTGGAAGTGGTGCTACGATGTGAGAACCAGGAGGACTTCGACGAAGGAATCAACCGGGTGACAAAGTTGCTCGAAGGTGTCCGCGTGCACTTCACCCGCTTTTGCCGCAAGCGAGGTATCAGCCCAGTGCCTGAGCTGTACCACATTCTCTCCTGAACTTGCAGCTGCTCTAGAAGCAGGCTGCGGGCTCATCAACTGCCTTAAGCTTCGAAAAGGTCGCAGCCGCCGGCAGCTTTCGAAGGCTGGCAGTAGTTCGGCATAGTAACTTTGGTACTCCCCTGCGGGTGCACTGGCCGGAGTGAAGCCCCGGCATGATAGGTTTAGGGTTTAGGGTTTAGGGTTTAGGGCTTAGGGGTTTAGAGTTTAAAGGGTTGTGTCAGGGAGTATTGGGAACCTGCACTCGACTTCAGATCACCGCATACAAACTTACAGTCACAAAACGCAAAGCGTAACATGACATGGGGGTTTCCGCGGTTTCCGCAATTAGGGTTACCTAATTATTGGGCTCTGAATTATAAGGGGAATCCTACTGGGTGGGAAGCCCTACACCCTAAACTCTAAACCCGACACCCTAAACCCTACTTTCCTGCGCAACTTGGCCCCAGTTGGCCTGACCATAACCTTCGTGTGCTGGACCGCAGGGGATGTGCTTGGCTTGCAGCTTTGGGGTCTTCCTTTCGAACTACCTGACACTGCTGGTCATTGGTTTAGGGTTTTTGGGGTTTAGGGTTTAGGCAGTCCAGTTGCAAAAAAAGGGTTTAGGGATACTCCAGCCTAGTGTTTGTTCGATGTGAGTTTTTGCTCTGCATACGTGCCCTCGCGTTTGTTCAAAGAGTTCTCAGGATGGACCGACTGTAGGTGGATTAGAAATGAAGTAGATGACATGCTTTGTCGGGGGTATAGGATTTAGGGATGTTTGGGGTTTAGGCTTTATAGCGTTTAAGCTTAGGGATACTCCACAGCAGATGCTGCCGGAAGGATCTCAAGATGTGATTCGAGTTCCGGGCAGAGCGTGCGCTCACCGCTCGTTGTTTCGTCTTGCTCGGAAGATGTGTCCCATATGCTCGCAGTAGGTTCATTAGCCGTTATTATTGCTATTATTATTATTATTATTATTACTATTTTTATTACTATGGTGGGAGTTTGGCCAAGACACCATGTTGGCGGGCATACGCAGCCTTTTGAGGGGCATGGCACATCCGGATCGCAGGAGCTGCTGATTCCGTTACAATCAGCTTGGGATCTGCAGCCTGTAGCGCTTAAGTTTCGAGAACGGGACTTCCCAAAATTATGGTTTCTCTCTTGGTGGCCCCGAATAGAGTCGACCCTCCTTGGAACGACCCCCACTGAGAAAGGGACTCCTGATTTTCGGAAGCCCGAACGCACTCGCAGCGTGACAGTGGGCTTTGATTGCTCCATAGCGCTGTACCTGTGGCCGAAACCCTAAACCCTAAACCCTAAACCCTTAACCCTAAACCCTAAACTCTAAACCCTTAACCCGAAACCCTAAACCCGAAACCCTAAGCCCTAAGCCCCAGGCCCTAAGCCCTAAACAAACCCCTAAACCCTCCATTTCGGCCGGTTTCGGAGTATGCGATTCGGGTTCTGTTGGCCGTGAGTGATGATGTTGGGATGGCCTTGAGGTAGCTATCTTGCTGGTAGCTATCTTGCTGGAGCTGTAGTCTGGGTTATGCCTGGATGACCAAATTAACGGGTTTAGGGTTCCTAAAATTGGGATCGTGTACCCGATGCTACGGTAATACCTGTTAGATCACGGTTCGGCAGCTCGGATCGCATGAGCAGCAGCTTCCACGAGAAGTCATCATGGGCTTGCACAAGCCTTTTGTTTTTTTTTTGACAAGGGAGTTTCCGAATTCGCCCCCCCCCCCCCCCCCTCCCGCCCGCTTTATAGCCCTATAACCCTATAAATAGAGTTGCAAGTCCTGAAAATAAAGGGGCTCCCGACTGAAGGAAACCCGCACATGGGGCTTGATAGTGGGCTTGATGGCTCCACCTTGCCCGGAGAAAGGCGTGCTACATCTGTGGGTTTAGGGTTTAGGGCCCATCCGAGGTGGTGAGAGGTGTTCCGAGTCTTCCAGAGCCTTCATATCCTTGCTAAAGTTTCAGTTGTAGAGGCACGCCTTTTTTCGGGCATGTCAGGGGGAGGCTGTGGGATGTTGCAGTGGCATCGGCCAATCCGTCATTGGCGTTCGGCCAAGCCTGTGGCAAACCTTCGCAGCTTCCTTGTACAAGCAGCACAGGAAAAGCAAGAGGGATCACCGGATGCCCAAAGCAGTCAGCAATGGTTGACGCACAGAAGGGACAGGCGTGCGTTGGAGGCTGTCTCGAAAGCCTGGTCATTCTAGGTGCATGAGTCTCCGAAGGTGTCCGTCTTCCTGAGTCCTCCCACAAACCCGAAACCCTAAACCCTAACACAACGACACTCCTTTTCCAAACGATTCGGGAAGGCGATGGGATGCTGCGAGATAAGCTTTGTGGCAGACCCTATTGCCGATTCCAGCCGCCACGAGCTGGAAGAGAGAAGCCACAGATGAACGCCAGTCCGCAAAGAAGCGCACAGGGTTTTGAATCTGTGGTCGTGCCTAGCTTAAAAGCGCCGACTGGACTTAAGCAACTTTCCAGACAGCCTCCGGGCCCAAATTAAACAATCATGGAGCTTAGGGTTGAGGATTTCGGGTTCAGATTTGCCGGTTTCGGGTTTAGGGCTCCCTTGGCGCCGCTGCGAAAGGCGGTCGCGACCGATTGAGGTGCAGGGGGTCGTGAAAAGGGCTGCTTCATGCAGAATCCACAAGGGAGTTTGGGGCTTGGGGTTCAGGGCCCATCTAGCTACGCAGACGTTTCTACCGAAGGCCCAAAAGTCCCAGCCCCAACCCCAAAGGCCCCAAAGCCTCATTCAAGCCCCAGATGTCTGAGTCCTTAGAGCCCAAAGTCTCCAACAGGGTTTGGGTTTAGGGTTTAGGGTTTAGGGTTTGGGGTTTGGGGTTTGGGGTTTGGGGTTTAGGGTTTGGGGTTTAGGGTTTAGGGTTTAGGGTTTGGGGTTTGGGGTTTATTGTTCAGGGTTTAGCGGTTTAGGGGTTTAGGGGTTTAGGGGTTTAGGGGTTTAGGGGTTTAGGGGTTGAGGGGTTTAGGGGTTTAGGGGCTTCGGGGGTTTAGGGGTTCAGGGGTTTGGGGGTTTGGGGGTTTTGGGGTTTTGGGGTTCAGGGGCTCAGGGGTTCATGCTGGAAGGCTTTGCGAAAGGCTCCACGGCCGATGCCGTAGCTACGCCCATCGTGCCTCGATCACACCGGCTTTGGGCGGAGGGGGGGGGGGGTCTAGGGTTTAGGGTTTAGGCTTTAGGCTTTAGTGTTTAGGGCTTAGGGTTTAGGGTTTAGGGTTTAGGGTTTAGGCATCAGGGTTTAGGGTGGTGGGTTTAGGGTTGGTTAGTACATGGGAGTTGCTGGGAGTTGTTTACAGGTCACTTTCAGGGGTTCCGGGTTGTTCGGTTCAGCTGGTCTACAAAGGGATGAACAACTGGACCTACCTCGGGTCAGCAATTCCCGCCTACGGGCCATTCTACTCTGCCTTTTGTCTTGGGGGCTACGTTTGAGAGAATTGGTGTGCTAGACCAGACTTTGGAAAGGGTTGTTGGTAGCGATCAGCGCGGCCAAGGAAAATATGTTCAGACCTAAGCCCTCCTGGGCCCCTGAGCCCCCCAAGCCCCTAACCCTAACCCCGAGCCTAACCTCATAAGCCACCCAAACCCCAAAAAATCCCCGAGTTTAGGGTCTTGGGTTTAGGGTTCAGGGCCAGCCCCAAGCCCAATCCCAAACAACTCAAAGGCGAAGCGTCCGAAGTCCAAAGCAGCTCCTCCACCGCCTCCACCGAGGACAGCGGGCCTTCATTGAGGGCGTTTGGGGGCTCTGGTGTGGAATTTGTGGTTTAGGCGGTGTAGGGTTTAGTGTTTGGGTTTGGGTAGTTGGAGGTTTAGGTTTGGGGTTTAGGAGGTTGTCGGGGCTGAGGGCTTGGGGGTGGGGTATGGGGGTATGTGGACATCCGGGCTCACCCGTGCTCGCAGCGCTAAGCCTTCGAGCCCTACAGCGCTAAAGCCCGCACCCTCGGACCTTGCAAGCCTTATAGGGTTTCGGGTTGAGGGTTTAGGGTTTTGGGGTTTAGGGGTTTTGGGGCTGAGGCCTCATAGTGGGTTTTTGTGAGAGCTCTGAAGCCCTACGGCCCTCAACCGATTCAACCGCCAAAGCTCCATCCGACGCAGGGGCAAAGGCATTCCCAAGGCATCGCCGGGCTTTTTTGTTCTTTGCTTTTTTGGGTGGGGGGGGGGGGGGGGTTAGGGGGTCTGGGTTTCGGGTGGAGGCTTTTGGGGTTTTGGGGCTTTGGGTTCGTAGGGTTGAGGATTTTCTTGCGGCTGTAGTGCTGAATCTGAGCACCATGATCACAATCTTGCTGGTTATCGGCGAGCTGCATTTTTCAGGGCCTTTCTTCAGACAAGTCTCTAGAAGGCACGCCCCTCTCACCACCAACTCCCCGCACTGAGCCCAAACACCCAGATGGGTCAGGGCAAATATTTTTCTAATCCCCCAAGAAAGGTACCCCTCGGGATGTTCCCCCTTATATTAACAGTCCTTAATAGGGGATTGTAGTACCCCCCTATTATCATCTCTATTAAGAAGGGGGAACATCCCAAAGGTCCCCCTACATTCTGGGTCTGGAACCCCCCAAAGCATCCACTGCAAGAGCCAAAAAGGCATGTGGGGGGCGGGAGGCTGGGTGGCTGCAAATCATGGCCCCTTTCTGACTCTCTGCTGCCGCGTGCATTCCGTTTATAGTTTAGCCCTAAATCCCAAACCCTATCAGCCTTCAACCCTGTTGCACTCAAACCAACCCTAAACTTAAAAGAAGTAACCCTAAACCCTAAACCCCTAACCGTAAAAGCAGTACTCCAGCAAGACTCCCAAGCCGGCAACGGCTGGAGGTGGCGGCCCGCCCCAAGGCGTCCACGGCCGACGAGGCCTTGGCCTTCCCGATCAGGGTTTGCTGGTTTATCCTGAACCCTGATGGTTTAGGGTTTAGGGTTTAGGGTTTAGGGTTTCGTGTTTAGGGGTTTAGGGAAAACCCTAAACTGTAGAGATCTGAAAGCCTGAGCCCTGATGAAGGTGTTCTGGGGACCATTATCCAAAGTGAACTGTTCACTAGCTTGAGGGCTTGCGGTTCTTTGGAGGCGTGCAGAGATCACAGAGCCTCAAGGAGGTTTTCCGGTAATCGAACCATCCCCCCCCCCCCGCCCCCCCCAAGTCACGAAAGCCCTACATCCCTGCAACCTTAAACCCTAAACCCTAAACCCTAAGCCCTAAACCCCAAACTCAACCCCCAACACAGGCCCTAAGCTCGGGGCCCAGGCTTTCTTGAGCCCACGCTCGGCAGAGCTTGCCCGCTTCGGCAAGAGGAGGGTTTGGGGCGGAGGGTTTGCGACCTTTGCGGGGTATAAGAAACGGGCCGGAGTAGTCAATAATTAATAGTATCCCCGTATGGTCCCTTCATAAAGATGCTCGAATGACCCCCCAATACCCCAAACCCCCATTAAGGCCCCTACATTAGGGGTTCTTTCGCGGGTTAGACCCCTTGGGGGGGGGGGTTTGGGTCGTTGGAGACTTAGGTTTCATGGCGTAGGGTTTAGGGTTTAAGGTCTAGGGTTAGGGTTGGGGTTGAGGGGCGGGAAGCGCGAACTCGACAACGAGCCTAGTATGGCTCTTAATGGGAATCGGGGAGCTCGGTGCCGTTACCCCCCCCCCCCGTGGCTGAGCAAAATAGGGTCTATTTAGAAGCTACCGCCTGGGATTATTAATCAATTTTAGCATATCCAAGACAACCCAGCTACTTCTCCAACAACGTCTCACGCATATGCGCACTTAGACAACTCATTTCGGACTGATAAATGTTTTGGCTCTTGCAATCTCAGACCCTAAGCCCGGAACCCTGACCACAAATTCGTACACTCTAAAACCCTACACAAGAAACTCTATACCGTATTTCCTAAACTCTAACTCCTAAACCCAGAATCTAGAAAGAAAAGGAGGAAAAAGAAAGAATCATGTGCAGACGTTCCTGTGTTCCTATCTTCGGAGTTCTTCTATTCCTATCTCTGCTGATTTTTCAGAATGGAAGGAGGGCTTCATTTTCCCTCTCACTTTTCCTTTCACTTTTCTTTTCTCACTCCAAGCAGAAGGGAGAAGACAAGGGAGAGAGGTGAGAGATAGAGAGCCCCTTACAGCTCAATAAATAGAAAGGTGACAAAAATGGATGAAAAGATCGCCTGCTTTCATTTCTAAACGGCCTGTCCCCGCCTTCTTTTCTTTGCACAGTGCAGACATAAATAAACACGAAAGAAGAAAGAGGGCCTTTCCCTACTATTTCCTTCGCTATCCTGGAATCCTGGTTCGGAAAAGAAAGGAACAGCTACCAGCCCCCCTCCCGACTTTCATCTTTCCATTTCTTTTGTTTCGTCACGCTCAAACGGACAGAAGAAGGGCGGCCTCTAGTGTTTCCTCGCCTCCTTCTGCACTGTTATAACTTCCTTTCTTTTCTCTTCTGTTGCTTTGTGTGACAGGTGCGGGGGCATTTCTTTCACTTTTCCCATCGAAGAAAGGCTCCCTTCCTATCCGCATATTTTCTTTTCTCTTCCTTCCGAAAAAGACTATAAGAGGCAGGGATAAACAGAATGAAAGAGGAGTCTCCTTTTGCTTTCCGACTACCTTCTCACCACAAAAAGGAACCCTTCTCTTTCTTCCCTTGACTTTCTTTTATCTTGTTTGCATTCTACGTTTCCCACTAAGAAAATGAGACAATGATGAAGATAAGTGAAGAAAGATCACCTGCCTGCACGCAGGTTCTCGGGAGCTTGTCTCGACCGGGCTGTCCCTCCTTTCCCCGCACGTCCCTTCGCTTGTCCCCATTGATCTCTCGCGTCTCTTCCCTTTGCACTCTCTCGCCTCTGGCCCGCCTTCCATGCTGAAAATGCTGAAGAGATACGAAAAGAAGAGCTCATGATTCTTTCTCATTTCTTCTTCTTTATCATTCCCATATGAGTAAAGAAGAAAGATTAGGAGAGAGAGCCCTGCAGCAATTCCTGTTTTGGGCGGAAGAAAAGAAACAAAGAGATAATAAGAGAGAAGAACGAATAAGAAGGTGCCGGGAACGAAGATGGAAACTGCTCCTTCACCCTGGTCTATCGCTTCCTTTTCGAATTTTTTCGGAAGGAAGATCGAAGAAGATAGTGGGAAAAAAGGAGTGAAGTGCCCGTAGAAGGGAGAAAGTGAAAGGGATGCCCCCGCAACTTTCATATTTTGATAAGAATGCAAGCGCCAGCAGAGAAGAAAGGAAGAGAGAATAACGAGGAAAGAGCGGAAACCGAGGAGATTAGGAGCCAGGTTTCCCTGATTGATTCTCGTCACTTTTCTCTGTTTTGGGAAGGTAAAGGGCTTTATATCTCCCACCTCTCTCCCTTGTCTTTTTGGTTGGAGTGAGAAAATATAAAGAAAAGCGAAAGGAAAAGTGAGAGGGAGAAAGAAGCCCTCCTTCCATTCTGAAAAATCTACAGATTTAGAGACAGGAATAGGGGACAATATGGAAATGATTCTTTCTTATTTCTTCACGTTGTCTCCTTTCCCTATATGACTCCCTTGCGATTTCCCTTTTGGTTGGAGTGAGAAGAGACAAAAGAAAAGTGAAAGGAAAAGTGAGAAGGAGAAAGGACGCAGAGATAGGAATAGAAAAACTCAGAAGAGACACAGTCTCAGACAAGATAATTTGCTGACTTGTGATTGCGTGGCTGCCTTGGCAAGAGTTGTTGCTGGAATGGCTTTTGGGAAGAAAGTCGGAGGTGCACTTTTCGATCCAGGCGTGTTTCGCGAGCCGCAGCTTCTGGCCTCCTCTTGCTTGGGCGTGGCCAAGCGCCAGGGAGCAGAAATGCTGCGTTTTTCAAGTTTCAAATTCGTTTCTGTAGTTTCAGACTAGTTGCAAAATAGTTTCAAAATCCAGTTGCAAAATCGTTGTTAAGGGGAAACTGCGTTTTTCTACGCGCAATTGCAAAACATGCAGGAATCTCTAGAGGTTCTGGTTTTCAACAAGCGCGGACAGAAATTGCAGCTCCTCCTTAACAGCGATATTTCAACTGGATTTTGAAACTAGTTTGAAACTGACTTGAGACTAATTTGAAACTATGGAAACGATTTTGAAACTCGAAACACTACCATATTCCGGACTTTCTGCCCCCCTCCTGGCCCCTCACATATGGCCCTCACGCACGGGAAGTTGACTTTGGTCAGGCGTGACTAGAGACCAGAGCTTCCGAAAGCTTGCCAATCTCCGGACAGTAGGAATAGAGGAATGTGTGGAAATGATTCTTTCCTAGTTCTTCATCTTCTTTCTCCTTTCCCTATGTATGAGAAAAGAAGACAGACAAGGAGAGAGCCCCCTGCAATTAGGAATTTCCCCAGAAGAGAAAGCGAAAGGGATGCCCCCGCAACTTTCACGTTTTTGAGAAGAATGTAAGCACCAAAAGAGAAGAGAAAGGAAAAGAGAATAGCGAGGAAAGAGGCAAGGAAACACAGGAGGCAGCCCCTCCGCTTGCTTCTTGAATGAAAAAGACATCGGAGAAATGGAAACATGAAATTGAGAGGGAAGTTGCGCTTTTCCTTGCTGAAGAACAAAGCAATTCCAAAGAACATGGAAAGCACAAGGAATGAACTGGGAAAGGTAGGGAAAGGGATTCTTCCCTTTTTTTGCTTTCCTTCAATCTGCGATGTAAAGGGAAAAGATGCAGCGGACAGGTCTGAAAATACAGGCAGGTGATCTTTTTTCCTTATTGTCATCATTGTCTCTTTTTCTCAGTGGGAAACGTCTCATTTTCTCAGCGGGAAACGTAAAGTGCAAAAAGATAAAAGAAAGAAAGTAGGGAAGAGTGGGAAGGTTCCTTTTTGTGGTGAGAAGGTAGTCGGAAAGCAACAGGAGACTCCTCTTTCATTCTGTTTACCCCTACCTCTTATAGTCTTTTCGGAAGGAAGAGGGAAGAACATACGCGGATAGGAAGGCAGCCTTTCTTTGATGGGGAAAGGAAAGGGATGCGCTGCCCCCTCAATTTTCATGTTGATGGGAATGTAAGCACCGGGAGAGAAGAAAGGAAGAGAGAATAGCGAGGAAAGAGGCAAGGAAACACAGGAGATTAGGAGTCAGGTTCCGGTGATTGATGTTCGTCTCTTGTCTTCTTTTTGAGAAGGTCGCTTTTGGTTGGAGGAAGAAGTCCGCCTTCCATTTTGAAGAATCTGCAGAGATAGGAATTGAAGAAATCACAAGAGACACGGATAGAGGACATTATAGACTTGATTCTGTTTTATTTATTCATCTTCTATCTTCATTCCCTATATGAACACAGAACAAAGACAAGGAGAGAGAGCCTCCTGCAATTGGGAATTTCCCCAGAAGAGACAAAGTGAAAGGGATGTCCCCCGCACCTTTCACACTTTTGAGAAGAATGTAAGCAACAGAAGAGAAGAGAAAGGAACTCATAATAGTGAGCAGGGAGGCGAGGAAAGACTGGAGGCAGACCTTCTTTCCGGTTGAGCAGGACGAAACAAGAGAATGTAAAGATGTAAGTCGGGAGGGAGGCTGGTAGCCGTTCCTTTCTTTTCCGAACCAAAGACAAAGAGGAAGGAAGGCAGGATAGGTTTCCGTGATTGATTTTCGTCACCTCTCTATGTTTTGAGAAGGTAAAGGGCGTTCTATCTCTCACCCCTCTCCCTTGTCTGCTTGGTTGGAGTGAGAAAATATAAAGAAAAGCGAAAGGAAAAGTGAGAGGGAGAAAGAAGCCCTCCTTCCATTCTGAAAAATCTGCAGATTTAGAGACAGGAATAGGGGACAATATGGAAATGATTCTTTCTTATTTCTTCACGTTGTCTCCTTTCCCTATATGACTCCCTTGCGATTTCCCTTTTGGTTGGAGTGAGAAGAGACAAAAGAAAAGTGAAAGGACAAGTGAGAAGAAGAAAGGATGCAGAGAAAGGAATAGAACAACTCAGAAGAGACACAGTCTCAGACAAGATAATTTACTGACTTGTGATTGCGTGGCTGCCTTGGCAAGAGTTGTTGCTGGTTTCGCGAGCCGCGGCTTCTAGCCTCCTCTTGCTTGGGCGTGGCCAAGCGCCAGGGAGCAGAAATGCTGCGTTCTTCAAGTTTCAAATTCGTTTCTGTAGTTTCAGACTAGTTGCAAAACAGTTTCAAAATCCAGTTGCGAATTCGTTGTTAAGGGGAAACTGCGTTTTTCTACGCGCAATTGCAAAAAATGCAGGAATCTCTAGAGGTTCTGGTTTTCAACAAGCGCGGACAGAAATTGCAGCTCCTCCTTAACAGCGATATTTCAACTGGATTTTGAAACTAGTTTGAAACTGACTTGAGACTAATTTGAAACTATGGAAACGAATTTGAAACTCGAAACACTACCATATTCCGGACTTTCTGCCCCCCTCCTGGCCCCTCACATATGGCCCTCACGCACGGGAAGTTGACTTTGGTCAGGCGTGACTAGAGACCAGAGCTTCCGAAAGCTTGCCAATCTCCGGACAGTAGGAATAGAGGAATGTGTGGAAATGATTCTTTCCTAGTTCTTCATCTTCTTTCTCCTTTCCCTATGTATGAGAAAAGAAGACAGACAAGGAGAGAGAGCCCCCTGCAATTGGGAATTTCCCCAGAAGAGAGAAAGCGAAAGGGATGCCCCCACAACTTTCACGTTTTTCATAAGAATGTAAGCACCAAGAGAGAAGAGAAAGGAAAAGAGAATAGCGAGGAAAGAGGCAAGGAAACACAGGAGGCAGCCCCTCCGCTTGCTTCTTGAATGAAAAAGACATCGGAGAAATGGAAACATGAAATTGAGAGGGAAGTTGCGCTTTTCCTTGCTGAAGAACAAAGCAATTCCAAAGAACATGGAAAGCACAAGGAATGAACTGGGAAAGGTAGGGAAAGGGATTCTTCCCTTTTTTTGCTTTCCTTCAATCTGCGATGTAAAGGGAAAAGATGCAGCGGACAGGTCTGAAAATACAGGCAGGTGATCTTTTTTCCTTATTGTCATCATTGTCTCTTTTTCTCAGTGGGAAACGTCTCATTTTCTCAGCGGGAAACGTAAAGTGCAAAAAGATAAAAGAAAGAAAGTAGGGAAGAGTGGGAAGGTTCCTTTTTGTGGTGAGAAGGTAGTCGGAAAGCAACAGGAGACTCCTCTTTCATTCTGTTTACCCCTACCTCTTATAGTCTTTTCGGAAGGAAGAGGGAAGAACATACGCGGATAGGAAGGCAGCCTTTCTTTGATGGGGAAAGGAAAGGGATGCGCTGCCCCCTCAATTTTCATGTTGATGGGAATGTAAGCACCGGGAGAGAAGAAAGGAAGAGAGAATAGCGAGGAAAGAGGCAAGGAAACACAGGAGATTAGGAGTCAGGTTCCGGTGATTGATGTTCGTCTCTTGTCTTCTTTTTGAGAAGGTCGCTTTTGGTTGGAGGAAGAAGTCCGCCTTCCATTTTGAAGAATCTGCAGAGATAGGAATTGAAGAAATCACAAGAGACACGGATAGAGGACATTATAGACTTGATTCTTTCTTATTTATTCATCTTCTATCTTCATTCCCTATATGAACACAGAACAAAGACAAGGAGAGAGAGCCTCCTGCAATTGGGAATTTCCCCAGAAGAGACAAAGTGAAAGGGATGTCCCCCGCACCTTTCACACTTTTGAGAAGAATGTAAGCAACAGAAGAGAAGAGAAAGGAACTCATAATAGTGAGCAGGGAGGCGAGGAAAGACTGGAGGCAGACCTTCTTTCCGGTTGAGCAGGACGAAACAAGAGAATGTAAAGAACTCCTCTTTCATTCTGTTTACCCCTACCTCTTATAGTCTTTTCGGAAGGAAGAGGGAAGAACATACGCGGATAGGAAGGCAGCCTTTCTTTGATGGGGAAAGGAAAGGGATGCGCTGCCCCCTCAATTTTCATGTTGATGGGAATGTAAGCACCGGGAGAGAAGAAAGGAAGAGAGAATAGCGAGGAAAGAGGCAAGGAAACACAGGAGATTAGGAGTCAGGTTCCGGTGATTGATGTTCGTCTCTTGTCTTCTTTTTGAGAAGGTCGCTTTTGGTTGGAGGAAGAAGTCCGCCTTCCATTTTGAAGAATCTGCAGAGATAGGAATTGAAGAAATCACAAGAGACACGGATAGAGGACATTATAGACTTGATTCTTTCTTATTTATTCATCTTCTATCTTCATTCCCTATATGAACACAGAACAAAGACAAGGAGAGAGAGCCTCCTGCAATTGGGAATTTCCCCAGAAGAGACAAAGTGAAAGGGATGTCCCCCGCACCTTTCACACTTTTGAGAAGAATGTAAGCAACAGAAGAGAAGTGAAAGGAACTCATAATAGTGAGCAGGGAGGCGAGGAAAGACTGGAGGCAGACCTTCTTTCCGGGTGAGCAGGACGAAACAAGAGAATGTAAAGATGTAAGTCGGGAGGGAGGCTGGTAGCCGTTCCTTTCTTTTCCGAACCAAAGACAAAGAGGAAGGAATGCAGGATAGCGCGTAGGATCGCGTAGGAGAGTACGGTGTGTTTTTGTCATTTTTTGGAGATGATACCGCGGTTTCTGGGTACTCTTTTCTCCTGCATCTGAAGGCATTCTCACGTACCGTTTTTTATTTGATTTTATACTACACGGGCCCCCAAAATTGGTCAATTTTTGCGATTTTTTACTATGTTGTAGGATTCTTTGAGCAAATTTTCAGTTTTTACTGATTCTAAGCTAAAAAAGTACATTTAAAATTATTTAATTCTTAAAATTATTAAAATTATTAAAATTATTAAAATTATTAAAATTATTAAAATTATTAATTTCTGCCCTGAGAGGCTCCCGGAAAATTAAAATTATTAAAATTATTAAAATGATTAAAATTATTAAAATTATTAAAATTATTAAAATTATTAAAATTATTAAAATTATTAATTTCTGCCCTGAGAGGCTCCCGGAAAATTAAAATTATTAAAATTATTAAAATTATTAAAATTATTACAATTATTAAAATTATTATTTTCTGCCCTGAGAGGCTCCCTGAAAATTAAAATTAGAAAAAATATTAAAATTATTAAAATTATTAATTTCTGCCCTGACAGGCTCCCGGAAAATTAAAACTATTAAAATTATTAAAATTTTTAAAATTATTAAAATTATTAATTTCTGCCCTGAGAGGCTCCCGGAAAATTAAAATTATTAAAATTATTAAAATTATTAAAATTATTAAAATTATTAAAATTATTAAAATTATTATTTTCTGCCCTGAGAGGCTCCCGGAAAATTAAAATTAGAAAAAATATTAAAATTACTAAAATTATTAAAATTATTAATTTCTGCCCTGAGAGGCTCCCGGAAAATTAAAATTATTAAAATTATTAAAATTATTAATTTCTGCCCTGAGAGGCTCCCGGAAAATTAAAATTATTAAAATTATTAAAAATTACTAAAATTATTAAAAATATTAATTTCTGCCCTGAGAGGCTCCCCGAAAATTAAAATTATTAAAATTATTAAAATTATTAAAATTATTAATTTCTGCTCTGAGAGGCTCCCGGAAAATTAAAATTATTAAAATTATTAAAATTATTAAAATTATTAAAAATATTAAAAATATTAAAATTATTATTTTCTGCCCTGAGAGGCTCCCGGAAGATTAAAATTATTAAAATTATTAAAATTATTAAAATTATTAAAATTATTAAAATTATTAAAATTATTTAATTGTTAAAATTATTAAATTATGCAACCATTAATAATTAAAATTTCAATAATTTTAATAATTTCAATAATTTTAATAATTTTGATAATTTTAATAATTTTAATAATTTTAATTTTCCGGGAGTCTCTCAGGGCAGAAATTAATAATTTTAATAGTTTTAATAATTTTAATAATTTTAGTAATTTTAATTTTCCGGGAGCCTCTCAGGGCAGAAAATATTAATTTTAATAATTTTAATAATTTTAATTTTCCGGGAGCCTCTCAGGGCAGAAATTAATAATTTTAATAACTTTAATAATTTTAATAATTTTAATAATTTTAATAATTTTAATTTTCCGGGAGCCTGTCAGGGCAGAAATCAATAATTTTAATAATTTTATTATTTTTTCTAATTGTAATTTTCAGGGAGCCTCTCAGGGCAGAAAATAATAATTTTAATAATTGTAATAATTTTAATAATTTTAATAATTTAAAAATTTTAATAATTTTAATAATTTTAATAATTTTAATAATTTTAATAATTTTAATATTTTTAATAATTTTAATTTTCCGGGAGCCTCCCAGGGCAGAAATTAATAATTTTAATAATTTTAATAATTTTAATAATTTTAATAATTTTAATAATTTGAATAATTTTAATAATTTTAATAATTTTAATAATTTTAATAATTTTAATAATTTTAATAATTTTAATTTTCCGGGAGCCTCTCATGGCAGAAATTAATAATTTTAATAATTTTAATAATTTTTATAATTTTAATAATTTTCATTTTCCGGGAGCCTCTCAGGGCAGAAATTAATAATTTTAATAATTTTAATATTGTTAATAATTTTAATTTTCCGGGAGCCTCTCAGGATTATTAAAAATATCAAAATTATTAAAATTATTAAAATTATTAAAATTATTAAAATTATTAATTTCTGCCAACGTCCTTTTGAAATCCGACCGTAGGGTCTATTTAGAAGCCGTGCTCTTCTAGGTTTATTACATTTAGGTATATGGACCTGTATTATAAATCACAAGCCCCAGCTTCTAAATAGACCCGGTTTTGCTCACACACCCCCCCCCCCCCCCCCGCCTCGAAAATTCACCTTCAACGGGTGAAACAGGCACGTGATTCCTTATTTCCCGATGAAAAGCCGCTGCATCAGTTCCAAGTTCCAGCAAGTCGATTGAGGGGTTTATTGAGAGTTCAGTGTGTTGTTGGGGATTAAACCCACTAAAACACCCCCCCCCCTCCCCCCAAAAAAGACCTCAAAACCTTCTTCGCGAGGATTCACTGGGTGAAGCCCAGCTGCGAGGCATGGCCCCCCCCCCTCTCCGAACCCCAAATGGTCAGTTCTCAAAATTACGGGAACCATGTATTGGGTATCCGAAAAATTCGGCCCGCCTTGCAATGGTAACCCTTAAAGGGAGCATACTTTAGAGAGGGGACCAACTCTCCAAAACCCCACAAAACCTTAGGGTGCAGGGTTTTAGGGTTCAGTGGATTTTGTTTAGGGTCCGGGGTTTAGGGTTTAGAGCTATGCCCTAACCCCTCCGAGCGTTAGTTCACAGCCGCGCTGGCAAAGGTACGCGCCTTCTCGCGGTTTGTTGGTTTGAGTGTTCTTGAGCTCAGGGTAGAACCCCCAAGCCACCCTAAACCCGAAACCTACATCCAAACCCCTAAGCCTTACAAGCCCTGTAGCAACCCGATAAACCCGATAAAAACCCTATGAGAATCCTCCAAGAACCGAGCCCTCTTTAAAAATCGCAAAACCCCTTATCTTGGGCCAGGAACCGCAGCAGGACACCATCTTCGGTGAGCTGAAGATGGTGCACACACAAAGCGAACAAGAGAGGAAGACGTGCCGGCGCAGTTTAGGGGTTTAGGGAATGAAGGGTGGTTTAGGAAGTTACGTGTTCAGTGTTCAGTGCTTAGTTTTTTTTGGTTTTGCGTGCTCTAGTTCGTATGTTCAGAGGCTAAGGCTAAGGTGCTACCACTTCCCCCCTACGTTTCGCGGGATGCAAATAGCTGGGAATTAGGGACTTTTTCGGTTTAGGGTTTAGGGCTTTGGAGGGTTTGGGGTTTGGGTTTTGTGGGGTTTAGGGTTTGAGCCATGTAGAGGCACAGGAGTTAGGATCTAGCCCGACGCGTATCCGCCCGACACGTGGTTTGGGGGAGGGGTGTCTCCCCCGCCAGGTTACAGTTTGACAAGAACCTTATGGATGTGACCCTGCTGCAGTACATATATTTCTGAATATTTCTGAGAGCCCAGGCTCTTTGAGAAGCTTAGGAACTCTAGCAAACCAAATCACGGGTTTAGCACCTTCTGTTTATGGTTCAGGGTTTCAGGGTTCAGGGATTTTGCTTTGGCATGTTGTGCCCTTACCCAGCAGGCTTAGAGTGGTGTTGAAAAACTTTCCGAGTGAAGTCTAGGAAGAAAGCAACGCTCCCTAGTTTGTCCCGTATCCTTCCACTTTATACAGTTGACACTTCAAAGAGGTTGCCAAAACCTTAGGCCCTAAGTCCTAAACACTAAAGAAGTTAGGGAAGCTTTGGTCGGCATTTGGGCGCTTATGCCTTATCCCCAAGATCACCCACCATTAGTGGACTGGAGCATGGTTTGCGGTTCAGGGTTTCGCACGTGCATGCCCAGCTAGGGGGGTGTTTGGGTTGGGGTTCTAGAATTTGGTCCTCAAGCTCCTTGAACCCTAAACCTTAAGCCGACTGAAGCCCTTAAACTCTTATCCTACAACCCTACTGAACCTTAACCCTCAACCCTATAACCCTGAACTTAAGCCTAAACCTGTAGCCTCTACTACACCAAAACCCTATAGCCCTATAACCCCATAACCCTACTATAATCTTACTAAGCCCTACCGAACCCTATAAACCCTGTAACCCTGAACCCTATAACCCTACTAGACATTCTTTCAGCTCACGTCTGAGCTGAGGCGATGTTTACGCCACGGAGTCGCCAGCTCAATTGCCAGTCTCAGGGCTTGTCAGGGGACCTTTTTCTGTGCTTAGAGTTCAGTGTTAGGGTTTCGGGTTTCGGGTTTAGGGTTTAGGGTTTAGGGTTTAGGGTTCAGGGCTTAGGGTCTGGTTCAGGTCTAGGGTTTGTGGGACTAAGATGGGCTTATATGGCTTTTGCATGGGTGTACGGATTCTAGAGCTTGTAGGGTTAGGTGCTTAAGGGTTTGTAAGGCTTTAGGGTTTAGTGTCTAGTGTTTGTGAGGCTTGATGCTTCAGATTCAGAGGGGTGTGAAATTCTACACACGCACATGTATATACAAAAACACCGGTTACCCATGTATAGAAAATATGTGTACATATATGAAGTATATGTTTATGCATCTGTAAACTGCATCCTGTATATTCCATTGCGGCAGGGATGGGCGACCGCGTCGGAGTACGCACGAGTACGCCCGAGTACGCACGAGTACGCCCGAGTACGCACGAGTACGCCCGAGTACGCACGAGTACGCCCGAGTATGCACGAGTACGCCCGAGTACGCACCGCCCGAGTACGCCCGAGTACGCCCGAGTACGCACGAGTACGCACGAGTACGCACGAGTACGCCCGAGTACGCACGAGTACGCCCGAGTACGCACGAGTACGCACGAGTACGCCCGAGTACGCACGAGTACGCACGAGTACGCACGAGTACGCACGAGTACGCCCGAGTACGCCCGAGTACGCCCGAGTACGCCGAGTACGCCCGAGTACGCCCGAGTACGCTCGAGTACGCCCGAGTACCCCCGACTACGCACGAGTACGCACGAGTACGCACGATTACGCACGAGTACGCACGAGTTTGTTTCAAAGCATGTGCATACATTGTTGGAAATCCATCATGCGAAAGTCGTGTTTGCAAAATGCGGGGGGGGGGGGGCTCCCCAACCCTGCTTTATTTTTAGCCGCGCAAGCTTGCTTCAACGCATATGCATACATTTTCGGCAACCCATCATGCGAGCATCGTGTTTGCAAATGGGGGGGCTCCCCCCCCCCCAACCCCCCCGTTTTTTTTGAGCCAAGCAAGCTTGCTTCAAAGCATATGCCATATGCATACATTAAAATGTTGCAAATCCATCATGCCAGAATCGTGTTTGCAAATTTGGGGGCCTCGCCCCCCCCCCCCCACCCAACCTCCCCGCTTTATTCATACATTTTGAAAACCCATCATGCGAGAATCGTGTTTTGCAAATGGGGGGGGGGGCTGCGCTCCCTCCCAATCCCCTCCTTTGTTAAAAGCCGCGCAAGCTGTCTTCAAAGCATATACATACATGCCGTTCGTTCGTGCAAGTCCAACAAAGTAAACCCTATATTTGTTACGTAAGAAAACCTCTACAGCAAACCTCTATGCGTCTCTCTGGTTTAGAAGCCCTATGTGTCCTTCGATTTTAAACCTCTTTTCCTTTTGTTTGGAAAACTCTTTCTGTTTCTGTTGGTAGTACAACCTCTAGTTTCTTGTGTATTGCATAGGCAAACCCTCTTTCCCCGCCTTCTATGGATAACCTCTATCTCCTTTCACTTTTAACATGGTAAAATCCTACCTTTCACGGACAAAACCCTAAGTTTCCTTGGTATTTGAATAGGAATACCCGCATTCCCTTTGTATGTTAAGAATAGAACCTGTATTTCCTTTGTACTCTATGCGGAAAACCTCTATTTCTTTAGATTTCAAGAGGAAAACCTCCATTCTCTTCGGATTTTGATGGGAAAACCGCTATTTTCTCTGGATGTTAATAGGAAAACCTCTTCTCTTTGGATTTTAATAGGAAAACCTCTATTTTCTTTGGATTTGAACAGGAAAACCTCTATTTTCTTTGGATTTCCTCTATCTTGCAATAGGGAGGCCCCCCCAAAAAAAAAAAGTTGAAAGGCAAAAAACAATTAAAATAATTCCTCGACCATAGGTTTACAGCAATGTAGACTTAGCAAGAACCCTGGATACCCTCACGCACGAGTTTTGACCATCTGCAGACTCCCAGCGACCTTTGCCACGAAAAGGATGGCCATAGCTTCTTGTGCGGAACCCAAGTTTGAAGCACACAGGTTTTTCCTTTATTGGCCTCAAGGGGTTTTGGAAGAACCCAAGTTTAAAACATACAGGTTTTTCCCCTTTTATCCTTAAAAGGCTTAGGCATTGCCTGGGTAGGCCCTTACAGGGGGTTAAAATGAAGACAGGGGGGGGGGGGGGCACCCAGCGCATACTTGGCGCATACCCGGGCACCCGGCGCATACCCAGCGCATACCCGGGCACCCGGCGCATGCCCGGGCACCCGGCGCATACCCGGCGCATACCCGGCGCATACCCGGCGCATACCCGGGCACCCGGCGCATACCCAGCGCATACCCGGGCATACCCGGCGCATACCCGGGCACCCGGCGCATACCCGGCGCATACCCGGGCACCCGGCGCATACCCGGCGCATACCCGGCGCATACCCGGGCACCCGGCGCATACCCGGACGGGCACCGCCTACAATATTCGGGGTCGCTGTTTCCGTCCACTCTGATTCCATTCTATAGTGTATCTTGTATATATATATATATATCTATATCTATGAGGCGCCCGTGGCGCGGCAACCCCACGGAAGTCGTGGACGGGGCCAAAACCGCAAGGCAGGGGCCGTGAAAGGGGTGTTGGGGTTTTGGGGTTTCAGACCAGGACACCGTGGATGCACCCGCATTTCGTGCGTTTATTCTGTGGATTAGTTGAAGTAGGGCTGAGAAGGTTAGATTGTGACATGTATTCTTTGAGGCCTTCCAAACCTTAGACACCCTCAGGTTTTACAAGTTAAGTATGTAACTATATAGATATTATGCACACTATGTATACTTGTATACATATGCTTTTGCATATACAAATACGTGTATATATCTCTATATATGTAATGTGTTTATCTGTATATGCAATATCGATTATGCTGTTTACACGGGGTGCCAGAAGCACCCCAGAAGGGTCGGGTTTGGGGTTGTAGGGGTTTTGGGTTTAGGGGTTTGGCAGTTTGAGGTTTGGGCTTTTGTTTTTTTTTTGGTTCGGGGGTCCCTTTTCTTAAGGGGTTTAGAGCTTAGACTGGGGGGTAGGGTTTTGGCATTTGAAGTTGTGGGCTTGGGTTGGCCAAATTCTATGCGTGAACCTGATAGCCTAGGGATCAGCCCTTAGGTCCCAATTACCCGTAAAGAGCGAAGAGCCAGTCCCCGAAGCCCTGCCCAACTTGCCCTCAACTTCCGCAAATTCTGAGGTTTAGGGTTTAGGGTTTAGTCTTTAGGGTTTAAGGTTTAGAGCCAAACTCCCTCAACTCCTCACCATCAAGCCGACATGCCCTCGGTTCGCAGGGCTGTGCCTTTTGGACAACAGCCGCGCGCACAACGTTGTCAGAGACCCAGCACCGGGCTGCGGACTCCCGGGATTCAGAGATTTGGGCTTGCGTTTGAGGGCAGACCCCCCCCCCCCCCGGTTTAGGGTTTAGGGTTTAGGGTTTAGGGTTCAGGGTTCAGGGTTCAGGGTTCAGGGTTCAGGGTTGAGCGAGTTTAGGGTTTAGGGTTCAGGCTTGAAGGAGCTTGTGGTTGGGGGAGGTTTGGGCTCCCGAAGGGCTGATAGGCTATACATACCCCTCTGACCTTCACCCCCCAACCTGAACTGAAGGGGGGGGGGGGGAAACAATTCTTACTCGAGGTTCTTTGGGCCTGGGGGTGGGGGTATACTTCAGGTTCTTTGGGCCTTGTTTGAGTGTTTGTTTCTTTTTTTGGGTTGGGGGTGGGGGCGGGATGAATGGGGATGGGTCGGAAGGATGCCGTAGCCCAAGCCCTAAATCCGAACCCGAAACCGTAAACCCCTGTAGTATGGGGTTTCCGTGACTCCTTACCCCAAGACCCTCAAAGCTCTGCTCGGTCCCCAGTAGCCTAAGTTTTGGGATTAGGGTTTGGGGAGTCATACCTCGTCATGCGAGTAGCGGGAGGCTGCAGCGTTGGGGTTTTCGCCGCTCAAAGAGTCTAGCTTTTCCCATGCTTAACCCTAAACTCCTAAACCCTAAGCCCGATTAAACCCTCTTAAACCCTATTAAACCCTATTGAACCCTATTAAACCCTATTAAACCCTATTAAACCCTATTAAACCCTATTGAGCCCTACTAAGCCCTGTTAAACCCTGAACCCTAATCTCACTTAGGCCATTGTGCTCACGAAGCTTGCGATGAGCACCAAGGCCAGAGAACTGAAGCCCTGGTAGCGATTGCCGACAACCTAACCCTAAAACCCTCAACCCCCCCAAAACCCTAAACCCCCTGCAAACCCTACAAAACCCAAAACTCCTATGCCCTGAAGCCCTAAACCCTAAAACCCGCATCCTAAATCCGACAACCATCGACAACCCCAAACCCCCCAAACACCTAAGAGCCCACAACGAACTTCTGCTTCCCTTCTCTCAAAGGCACCCTTTTTACTAGCAGTCGCTCACAGGGAATATAATAGGGGATATAATAGGGAATATAATAGGGAATATAATAGGGAATATAATAGGGGGGGGGTACTATACTCCGTATAAAGGACTGTTACCATATGGGGGAGCATGCCAGGGAACATTTTCTGCAACCCGGAAATCCGACCGCCATTTTCGAACCCTGCCTTTGGGCTCATGGGGTTGAGGGCTTATGGGATTTTATTGGATTTATGGGATTTATGAGGTTTAGGGTTCAGGGTTTAGGGTCTAGGGCGCCATCAGCAAGTACAGTTATCTTCTGTTGCTCCGGGGATTCGCTGGGCTTGAGAGAACTTGGGCATCTCGAGGACTTAGGTTTAGGTGTTTGGGCTGAGGGTTAGGGTTTAGGGTTTATCGGGTTTGGGGTTCATGGGGTTACAGACCTGAGACCCTGCAGGGCACAAAGGCCTCAACACCTTGAACACCTGAAGAACCTTTCAGGGCTTCAGCTAGACAGCTCAAAAAGGCGATTCGAAGAAAGAAGCTCGAACGCGTCCTAAGAGAAGATGTAGCAAGACAGCAGAAGCTGCCTTCGGGCGATTTCGATGTTGTTGTGCTTGCCAAGACACAAAAAGTGGCCCCATGTGATTATCGACCTTTCCGAAGCTCGCAAACCACACAACCCAATTTGAATAGCGATGTTGCAATCGTTGAAAGAAGAGACAGACATCAGAGCAGCAGCGGTGGCACATCTACTTAAATTGTATCGTCCGCGCTTTCATAACAAGAGGATGTACTCCGCTAAAATCCCATTGCCACGCTTTTGAGAGAAGATCCTTACGCCCATCCCGCTTTTCAACTACGAACACCCTGTCCACCGCATCAAACAAAACAAACACCATGGTGGGAGGGGGAGCCTAACAACTATAAAGCCCTAAGCCCTAATCCCTCAAACCTAAATCGCGCAACAAGAAGAGCAACTGTAAATCCGTACCTTTCAGCTACCCTTAAACATCCTAGAAGCCTTTCAGGAGCTTAGTCGAGCCATTCGCCTCTTCGACACAGGCCATTTGGTCTAATTACGGGGCTCAGGATGTTTCGGGAAGTTTAGGGGGCTTTGGGGTTAGAGTAGCTTGGGTCGCTTGTGGTGTTCGGGCAGGACCCTAAACCCTAAACCCTAAACCCTAAACCCTAAACCCTAAACCCTAAACCCTAAACCGTAAACCCTACACCCTAAACCCTAAACCGTAAACCCTAAAACCCTAATGCTTCCGCGCTCTGCGTCACAGGCGCAACCGTGACTACAACCCTCAAACACTCTTGTATCGCTTGAGCCACGCCATACAGGATACACGGGTGCACTACTCAGTTTGTGACCCTAAACCTTAAACCCTAACCCTAAACCCTACACCCTAAACCCTAAACCCCAAACCCTAAACCCTAAACCCTAAACCCTACAACGCAAGGCTGTAGCTGGCTTCGGACCGACCACGTGGAGTTGCTGACCGTGGCGATGCCGACCACCTCGGAGGCGACGAAAATTCGGTGCTCGGCTTTGTTTTCTTGGTGCCGGGGGGTTGAGGGTATAGGGTTTAGGGTAGAGGGGCAGCACACATGCGGAGGCGACGAAGCTGCTGGCACACAAAGACAAGGCCGGGAACTCCTTGATGTTTCCGTTTGTCTCTGTTGAACAAACTGCATGGGTTTAGCTTTTCAAGGGTACAAGCCGGAGCTGCACCAAAACCGTTCTTGATTTGCTTGCGGGTATGTACATCTTGTAGGCATACCAGTATATCCTAGGCACTGCACCCTGGCCCTACAAGTGAGATGGCTTCTCATGCTTGGAGCAGAACAGGGTTTAGTTGAGGGCTTGGCGGTTTGGGGCCACGGCCAAGTTGCCTTCCGCGGAGGAAGATGCCCTGCGAGACGTGGAGAGGAGGAGCGTGCCCAACACCGACAAAAAACACAAAGCGACCCTAAACCCTAAACCCAAAACCCTTAGCCAAACAAAACCTAAGACACTTAAGCCGTACCCCCAGGTACTTCAGTCCCTCTAACCCTGAAAATAGGCTCTAGGGGTTTAGAGTCTAGGTCTAGAGCTTAGGGTGTTGGAGAGTTAGGGGCTTTGTGCTGACTGTTGGCTGATGAGTGAACATCCCCCCCCCCCCCACACCCCATTCCCGGGAAGATTGTCCACTTAGAAACGAAGTAGTTGGGTGGTGTTTGGTCTGTCCCCTGTCAACCGAAGTTAGTTGGGGGGATCGTGGGTCACAGTTAAGGAGGCTGGCAACCCCAGCTTGAATGGTACACCCTAAGCCCTACACCCTACACCCTAAACCCTGCACCCAAAGTTTGGCTAGCTGACCTTGTTTCGGATCCTTTGCTTATTGAGCTTCCTCACGCTTACAAACTGAGGGGGGGACTGGCACTGTCAACATTCTGGGGTACTTACTTATTTCGTTTTAGGGTTTAGGGTTCAGCATCTCAAGTCCAAGCATTCACTAGTCAAGCAGCTTGTGCCCAAAGAATCCCGTAACATTAAGACAATATGAGGCTCACTCGGTCCACAAACCCTAATATTTTCGGAACGTAATGCTGTATTTGTTTCTTATCCCCAAGCCACCTGGGCTGAAAAATGCCGGGGCCCGATTGAGAGACACCGGTGCCGATTGTTGCTCAAAATCTGAAAAACAAAATCTGAAACACCAGGGGCCCGAGTGTTCAAAATCCGAGAACAGAAACATATGATTACAAAAAAGAGTACGAGAGGGTTTAGGGCTTAAGGTTTACGGTATTCTTCTGTTCCAGCACACTTCTCTCCCTCTCCCTCTCCCTCTCCCTCTCCCTCTCCCTCTCCCCCTCCCCCTCCCCCTCCCCTCCCTCTCCCTCTCCCTCTCCCCTCTCCCTCTCCTCTTCTCCCTCTCTCTCCCTCTCCCTCTCCCTCCCCTCTCCCTCTCCCTCTCCCTCTCCCTCTCCCTCTCCCTCTCCCTCTCCCTCTCTTCTGCGCGCCTTTGCTGATCAGCTGTCTAGGTACTTGAACCCTACGCACGCGAAATGGAAACTATAAAGCCTAATTCACATGTCACCGCCCGAATGATGACACACTAATAACAATGCGGTATATCTTACTGGATTCTTCATTCCAATTCCCTTATTTTGCTTGTTTAATTGAGTTATAAGGAGTGAAGATATGAATGGCGCATGAACTCAATTGAACATCAAGCAAAATTAGGACATGAATGGAGAACTCAGAATGCTAGGGGCATTATTGCCATTCGAATAAGAGCCTCCTGCAAATAGAGATCTCGTGTTAAGGCTTTTAATGCCTTAGGAGCGGCGGTACGATCTCAATGTCCCAGGGTTCACCTCCAAGCCCGTGAACAACCTTCCCAGCTAGTATCTTCGACTGTAGAAAGGCCATCATAATACAATGATAAGGTCCTGAAGAACGTTCTGACAAAGCTTACTAAAGAACTCCCAAATAATAGTAAAAGCATAAGGAAATTATACAGTGCACCCGAAACGAAGCCCCTTCGTTGAAGGATGCTGCCGCTGTGCAATCTCAGCCCGGCAAGGATAAAGGCAGAGGGCCTAGAAGCTTGGGTGGTTTAGGGTGGGTTCAGGTCTAGGGCTTAAGGTTAGTTCGGGCGGGGCTTTAGTTTTGTTAGAGGTGTTAGGGTTTGTGCGGGTTTGTTAGGGTGTGTCAGGGTTTACATTTTTTTTTTTTTTTTTTTTTTTTTTTTCGGGTCCGGGGTCTCGACTTTCAGTCAATGTCGGAGATGATCGGACCCGCATGTTGTGGATACTTGACTCGACACGTTTGGGAGGCGTGCCTGACTCCCCAAACCCTAAACCCTAAACCCTAAACTAAACCCTAAACCCTAAACCCTGAACCCTCAACCCTCAACCCTCAACCCTCAACCCTAAACCCTCAACCCTCAACCTCAACCCTCAACCCTCAACCCTCAACCCTCAACCCTCAACCCTCAACCCTCAACCCTAAACCCTAAACCCTAAACCCTAAACCCTAAACCCTAAACCCTAAACCCTAAACCCTAAACCCTAAACCCTACACCCTAAACCCCAAGCCCTAAACCCCAATTCCCAAGTCCAAAATCCCAAACCCCAAACCCCACTCCTCTCGGCGGCCCCGAGGTCATGAAGTTTGCTCTCTCCTATCAGCCGACGGCTCAGTAGGGTTTAGGGTTTAGGATTTAGGGTTTAGGGTTTCGAGTTTAGGGTTTAGGTTTAGGGCCTAGGATTTGGGGTTTAGGGTTCTGCATGCAGACAGATAGATAGGTCGGTCGGGGTTTGCGAAAATCCGGACCCCTGATACAGGCCCCAAATAGTCGGGTTCCCTCAGAATAAGGACCCCGGATAAGGTACCCCCTTCCAATTTGGTAAAAACCCTACATGTGTCCATGGTGATTCGTCTAACTTAATCGTCTCTTTTGGGGTCCCTATTAAAGGGCGGCCCCTCTTATTTAGGATACCTCAAAACGGACCCTAATTTAGAGACCTCGCCATATATGCAGATAGATGTCACAGAAATCTGCCATTCTCCAGCCAACGTTCTGGCTACACGTCCGTTTGTGCTTTTGTTTGGACAGTTGGTTTCGGCTACTTGGCTTCTGTTTGTTGTTATTTTTAAGAGGGCAGCTTCATGAATTTTGTTTGTTTTGTGGGAGGCAGCATATCTCTGTATGTATATGTGTCTATATGTAATATGTCTATGCTGTCTATGTCTATGTACTTGAACTTGCATTGGCATTTGCTTTTTGTACTGGCATTTGTCTTTGCATTTGTATTTGTATACGTACGTATGTGTATATGTTTGTGTATATATATATAATATACATGTACATATACACGCATATGCATACCGTGAGAAGACTCATGAACTTATAGAAGTCCTCAATCGCCACGCGCCCCTACTATAGGTTGTGTTCTCTAGACCCAGAAGTTGTATTTCAAAACCTGGGGTGTTCACCTTCATGATGATTATGATACGAAATTTCCTGTCCAAAACCCCAAAGTTGGGATATTGAGTTGAGTGAAGAGAACACAATTATAAGGTGAAAGAAGTGAGTGAACAAGTGAACAAACGAGCGAGCCGCATGAATTGTGTGAGCGAAACAAAGACGCGAGGAATGCACCCCTGAGACTGGAAATTTCGTATGATTAAAACTATGAATCAAGAGTGAAGAATCCAAGAGTCTGTCATTATAGGGGCTTTCCCACAATCTTTTATTTGACCCTGAAACCCTGAAATCCTTAAACCCTTAAACCCTAAACCCCTAAACCCTAAACTCTTCAGGTCGCTTCGTGAAAGTCTCATGGAGCGGTGTCAGGCCACCCGATATTCTTCTGTCTGTTTGCATGTAGTGGGGCTTATGCGAAGCTCACGACAGCCTCAACTCTACGCCGTGATGCCCGTGTGGAAGTGAAAGCCTCCAACTTCAAGGTTTAGGGTTTAGGGTGTAGGGTGTAGGGTTTGGGGTTTAGGATTCTTGTTGTTGTGCGGGAGGGGAGGGGGCGTTTTGTTGAGGAGTTTCTTGCAAGGTATCACCAATATCTTACATCCTGAAGCCCCAAGTCCTAAGCCCCACAAAACCTTAACCACCCGCAATCTTCGAGAAAACGCCTCCATCCCCCAAACCCTAAACCCTATACCCTAAAAACTAAAGCCTAAACCCAGACAACCAAAGAGAGACCACCAGAGCTGAAAGAAGATCTCGCAGGTCCTCCAGTTGGCAGCGGAAGAGTCCAGGCCAGGTTGGGGGCGTTAGTTGGGGGACAGAGTTCAAGGGTTGAAGGTGCTGAGGGTTTGGTTTAGGGTTTAGGGTTTAGGGTGTAGGGCTTAGGGTTTAGGGTGTAGGGTTTAGGGTTTAGGGTTTGGGGTTTAGGGTTTAGGGTATAGGGTTTGGGGTTTAGGGTTTAGGGTTTGGTTTATTGTTTGGAGTTCAGACTTGGGGTTTGGGGGGGTGCTTAGGGTTTAGGGGGGCTCGTACGTCTCAAAGCACAAAGAAAGATGAGGCCTTGGAGACACAGAGCATCTTTGCCCAGGAAACCTAAACCGGGCAGACTTCTTTCTTGCGCCATTAACACTCTGGGCGTCATGAGCCCCAATGCAAAGAAGCTGAGAAGAGAGGCCGGTGAGACCCATACGAAATAGGGGTAACAGGGGACTTTTTTAAAGACGATCCTTGATGTGGGAACCTCCGAAAAGGTTACCCCTCGTTTTTGGAAACCTCCACTTGCGTGACCCGAAGGAATTCGGTCCCCTTCAGAGAGCTCCTGGCCATCGTCTTGGAGGACCGCTTTGCCGGGGGGAAGCTGAAGAAGCAGCCGGTTTGGGGTCTCAAAACGCCTCAAGACTTAACCATCAACTCCCTTGGGTTAGGGTTTAGGGTTTAGGGTTTAGGGTTTAGGGTTTAGGGTTTAGGGTTTAGGGTTTAGGGTTTAGGGTTTAGGGTTTAGGGGCACAAAAGAGAGCCCTAAACTAGCTCATGAGTCCCGAAGAGCTTTTGCTTTTCAGGGCGGCCTGGAGTTTGAACGGCCCGTTAGCTTGAGTCCTTTCTCAGGCCCCATCCCGACCCCCGAAGTAGGGTTCAGGGGCTTCGGCTTTAAAGTTTAGTTTAGAGTTTAGGGTTTAGGGTTTAGGGTTTAGGGTTTAGGGTTTAGGGTTTAGGGTTTAGGGTTTAGGGTTTAGGGTTTAGGGTTTAGGGTTTAGGGTTTAGGGTTTAGGGTTTAGGGCTCAGGGTTTCGGGCTCGGGGGTTCAGGGTCTGCGGAAGCCCTGGAAGAAGAATGCTAGGCCCCATGCCCTGAAGCCTACATCAAGCCCTAAGCCCCAAACCCCAAACCCCAAACCCCAAACCCCAAACCCCAAACCCCAAACCCCAAACCCCAAACCCCAAACCCCAAACCCCAAACCCCAAACCCTGAATCCTAACCCTAAACCCTAAACCCTAAACCCTGAACCCTAAACCCCCTCACGCCTCAAGAGAGTGGGCGTTGGGAAGGCTGGCAACTACATCAATGGCGGCGATCAAGCGAACGCCCAGGTGTGCACCAGATGTCAGATTCGGGGTTCGCGGGTTTAGGGTTCTAAGGGCTTGGAGTTTTTGTCGGGGGTTTAGGAGTTTAGGGTGCCGCTGTGCGGCCTTCGCCTCAGTCTACATGGTTTTTTTTTGGATTGCCGGAGTGTCGCTCCCAAATTCAACTTCACCCCGCACATTCTTATAGTAAGCGAGGAATCCTCCGTCCTCAACCCTAAACCCTAACCCCTAAACCCTAAACCCCTAAACCCTAAACCCTGAACCCTAAACCCTCCGCCAGGGTGAGCGCGTGAGGGCCTTCGGCATCGAGTCGCTGCAGTCTTTGGCGAACTTCAAGGCCAGGGCCTCTCTGGGACTTGTAGGGCCCGTACGGTGTTTTGGGGCTTTTAAGCCCTACGCCCTGAGACCTGAGCCCGAAGCGCGAAGCGCCTAAGCCCTAAGCCCTGAAACCCTGTAAGACCTAGACCCTAAACCCTAAGTCCTAAGCCCTAAACTTTCAGGGTGTAGGGTTTAGCGGTTTAGGCGTGGTTTACTTCAAGAGTGGGTGTTTCAGGTTTGATGGGGCTTAGGGAAGGGTAGTTCAGGGCTGATACTCAAGGTTCAGGGCCTGGTTGAGGGTTTAGGGTTTAGGCTTGGGCCGGTGACTTTGGCAAATGCCTCAAGGACGGTGATTGACTGTCAGTATCAGCCAAGACCTGTAGGCTTCGACCATCGGACGCAGTAGGCACCCCGCCAATCAGTCCCACATTGAAGGTGACATGTATCAAGATACATCAGCTGAATGAAACCCAAACACTCTGATCTCCAACAGCCTTGAAGAGGTTCGCAATGCCCACCACCAAGATGAAATTCTTTCAAGCAAGAGCAGCATTTGAAAGGCTCGAGGTCTCACAGGGTAGGATATCCATCCATGGAGCATACCCTTTCGTGCCAAGAGCGTGCGGCCCATGGCCCATCCTTTCTAGATGTTGCCCGGCTTGTGTGGTGGCACATGTGGCCTGTCATGCTGATCATTGCGGCTGCCTGTGCTGGCTGCGCTGCAACAGCCATCTCTGACCTTAGTTCTATGACGCCCCAATTTCCAAACTACGGGAGCGTGTGCCGGAATCTACTACTGCTCCCCTGTCGTGTGCTACACTATTTTCTGCAATTCTACGTTATGTCCTTGGTCATGGCACTGGTCCTTCTTGCGTTTGCAGTTGTGCCCCCGACCATCTGTTTCGCTATGTTTGCCGCTGCCTTCCCCGTTCTGTGCAAGCTCCACGTAGGACATGTGCAAGACTCAATGTTGGTGTGCCTGCCGCTGCCCTCTGGTGAAGTGGTGGGATTGAATGCATACATGTGGCCTCCATACGCTGCCTTCTTCCTGAAGGGCCTCATGGAAATCTTCTCAAGCCGGTGGCAGAACCCTGAGGCCAAGATCAAATGGGGTGAGAGCGATACCCCATTCCGTGTTGTGGATGTTTGGCTGATATTTCAGGTCTGGGACCTCTACTTAGACTTGGCCGCATTCGTGACCATGTTTGGTAGCGTGCATCCCGGGTTCCAGATTTGTTGGGCCCTGACGTGCATCCCATCTGCAGCTCTTGTGGTGGCAGTTGCCATGTGCCCCTTGTCAGAGCAACGGATGTGGCAGTACAGGAGGCTTCAGGTTCTCCTGGAAGACATCCCGCAGTTGCTGCTGGCTTCCTGCGGCTTGTTCAGCCGCACCCTGGCGCCAGACATGAACCAGTATCTATATCCCCCTTGGGAAGCATTTTTCTTATTTTGGTTCATATAACACCCAAGAGGATATTAACAATACTACTATTTTCATTAAGGTTCTAAGGGGAGTATAGGTATGTTCTCTACAGCCTCATGACGAACTGCCTGAGTGTCGTCGCGTCACTTCGGCTGGTGGCGGAAGCACCTGACACAATGTCGTCATCAAGCGCCCCATCCCCCCTGGGGAGACTGATCGGGACCGAGCTTGCAGGGCAAAGCGGACAAGATGCCAGGTTGCTGTGGCGAGATGATCCTGAGGACAGGAAGTTGGCAAACTCGAAAGGCACGGAAGACGCCGAAGGTCAAGAGCAGGGGCTTCTGCCCGTTGCGGCGAATGGCAAGGCGGAGAAGCGCCAGCCTCAACCCGGTGCTGCGGAACGCTTTGCCCGAAGGCTTGGAGGCATGTGCAGAGGGCAAGCAGGTTCATCCCAGAAGGGTCCCAGCTCCGCTTCCAAGCAGACGGCATGCTGCTCCATTTCTTGAAATGTTCCCACATGGCCCCTTTTTACCCCCTAAACCCCCTAAACCCCCTGAACCCCCTAAACCCCCTGAACCCCCTAAACCCCCTAAACCCCCTAAACCCCCTAAACCCCCTAAACCCCCTAAACCCCCTAAACCCCCTAAACCCCCTAAACCCCCTAAACCCCCTAAGCCCCCTAAACCCCCTAAGCCCCCTAAACCCGAGTCTCAAGCGCCAGGAGTCGGCCCAAGCGACCTAAAAGGGTGGCAAGCACTCTCTTTCACAGTTTCACCGCTCGCCTGGCATTGAGCCGAATTGGCTCAGCCCGTTCTTGAAAACGGGCGTTATCCTGCACTGCCCTTTTGCCCTTTGTGCGACCTAGGCGCCTCGCAAATTGTGGGGGCTGATGAGTAGGCTACCCCCCTAAGGCCTAAGGGTGTTTGGGGTTTGGGGTGCTTAGGGAAGCATGTGCAGGGTCTAGGTTTCCTAGGGGTTGAGGAGCTCCTTTGGCTCAAGAGCGCTTCCATCGAACGTCGGAGCCCATGATCCCCGTAGCCATGGAGACGCACAACCCTGGCACCGCGTGCTTGTCCTTCCGATGGCGGAGTCCCAACTTTATATCGCCCTCCGGCCCGCGACTTCCTACATCCCCAGCCGGAAAGCCCTTTCAAGGGCCCTCTCCGGTGAACTCTCAGGTTCGCTCTCTTTGCTCCCTCCTTCCCTTGGCTTCCCTTTGGGCGTCGCGCCCACGAAGGAGGCTCCGGGCCTGGCCCTTGCGGAGCGCCTCCCCGGAAGAGTTTCAGGAGACCCCTTCATCATAAGCCCCTGTCTCAACAAACCCGTGAACATACCAACTCTTCTCAAAGCTCTGAAAATAGCCCCTCTAAGTGCCCCTATGACCCTTAGATGCCTTAGATCTTCATACTTCGATGGAGGCTCAAGGGTGTGAGGGTGAGTCAACACGAAAGTCCGAACCCTCAAGTAGAAATTGGCGGCTCAGGACTTCATGGGCCTTCTCCACGACGTGGACAAGCACGTCGCGGACCGCAGTGTGAAGGAAGTGCTCGCTGAGGATCGGGAGGCTGTTGAGAGCGTGGGCGAGAAGCTTGTGGCCCTAATGCTTGGCTGCGAGCACTGGGAGAGGTTCTTTCCTGACCTGTACCTGGGCAGCGGTTGGTTTAGGGTAACCAAGCCCCTACACCTTGCACCCTAAGAACCCTAAATCCTAAACCCTAAGCCCCCTACACCCCCCACGTCCCTGATTTAATTCAGCCCCTTCAAACCCTTGAACTCCTGCCAAGGAGAGTGGAGTTGCAGCCGAAGTTGATGTACCGCATCCATCTGTTCAATGGCGATGGGGTGGATGTACGTCTGCATCTGTTTCAGGATGCCTCTGAGACCTATGTGCACAGTCACCGGGCCAGCTTTCACTCGGTTTGCCTCTACGGAAGCTATGTGAATGAGATCTGGGATGCATGTGTCGATCTTGAGGGCAAGCACTTCAGGTTCAATCGCACAAAGGATGAGGTCCTGCGAAGGCCGGGTGCCAGGTGCAGCGGAGCACTCGTTTGCAAGACGCACTGGAAGCACTTGCCTGGGAGTGCTTACTTCTTGCAAGCCAGGACATACCACCGCATTGTTCAAGCAAGTGGCGAGGTGTTGACGCTGTACATCAAGGGCAAAGACAAGCCTTGTGATACCATAGCGCTCAACATGCAGGAGAGGCCCGACTGGAAAGGCACCAACGCCATGGAACAGACCGTGGCGGACTGCACGGTGAAGAACGTGTTGAAGAAAGCTCGCACCTTAATTAACAATGGTCGCCGTGCCTAATTGGGGCTTCACCTGAATTATGGGCCTTTGTGCACCTTTTTTCGTACCCTGAACTTGAAGGAAAGTGCTTTCCATGATAGTGAACCGCCTCTTTCATACCCCCCAAAGCAGTTAGACCATCATTCAATAGAAACCAGACACAGCAAAAAGGGCCCATAAGGTCAGTTCTCAAAACTATGGTCCTTTTTTGGGTACCCTAAATACAAGGGGCCGCCTTAGAATAGGGACCTCATAACGGACCATATGTTGGAGAAGTGATCAATCTTTTCCCCTCAGCCCCAAGTTTGATAGAATTTTCCTCCCAACTGAGTCGTTTTTGGCCATTCTCAGCTTTGGGCCCCTTGACGCTAGGGTTCTTTGGTCTTGGGGTTCTTAGGGTTCTTAGGGTTCTTAGGGTTCTGAGGGTTCTTGCGGTTTATAGGGTGTACAGGGTTTAGGGTTTTGAGGGCTTTTGGTGCTCGGGGTCTCATACGGTTTGGGGCTTTGGGCCTTGTTTGGTCCCAAGAAGCCTTCCAAGAAGCGTCGATGTTGGGTCGCCCTCTGCTTAGCAATCGAAGTCCACACTTCCTGGCATTTTGTGCACCACGTCCGGCACCCCCTAAAAGCCCGAAACAGTGCCCTGATAAACCCTAAACCCTAAACCCTAAACCCTAAACCCTAAACCCTAAACCCTGAACCCTAAACCCTAAACCCTAAACCCTAAACCCTAAACCCTAAACCCTAAACCTGTGCCACTCCAAACCTTCTATCTGCACTGCACCCTCGTCTGAGCACTGCGCGTGTTGAGCGCTCTGCACGGCGTAGGGTGCATGTTTCAGGAGCAGGTTGGAGGTCAACACAGAAAAGCTCCTTTGGGGTTTAGGGTTTAGGGTTCAGGGTTTAGGGTTTAGGGATTTAGGGCAAACCTTAAACAGCCCATGACTTTGAGGTATGGAGGGGGTTGAAGGTTTTTTGAGTTGAGGGTCCAACTGCTTAGAGGTTGACTGTGGGGCGGTAAGGCTGCAGCTGGGTCAGTGCAGGTTTGAGGGTTTTGGGGTTCAGAATGTAGACTATTGGTGGGAATTTCTCTGGCCAGCCGTGATCTTTAGGGCTGGCAGCATTGATTGCCTTTTTTGCTTCGGAGCCAGAAGACCAAAAGAATCGCGAGAGACTTAGGCCCAAGCAGTAGCTCTAAACCCTAAACCCTAAACCCTAAACCCTAAACCCTAAGCCCTAAACCCTAAACCCTAAACCCTAAACCCTAAACCCTAAACCCTAAACCCTAAACCCTAAACCCTAAACCCTAAACCCTAAACCCCAGAACCTCTCTTTCTCCCCTTGTTCCACAACCAGAACGACCTTCGAGCCTTGGTGCCAATCCCGATCACCTCGAAACACCTCAAACCCCTGAATCTTCAAGCACCCTACTACTTTGTGGTACTTTACTGTAACTTTAGATCCTTACCCTTTTTGGGTTAATTGGGTTTCTTCATGAGGCAGCTAAAAGTTCGATTTTTAGCTCCCCTTTGGGACATTTTGCATGTTCCCTTTGAGGATCATCTATGGGGTTTCCGAAATTCGGGGGTGCCTCATTGGGGTACGTATTCCCTTATTCTCGTACACCCCCCATTTGTAGGAACATTTTTTTCAGAGGGTGCTCAGGGCCACCCCAACTGCGCTGAAGGCAAAGCCGCAAGCTCACCTTTCCAGGTGGCATTCATTCAAGCTCAAGAAGCCCCGCTCGTCACCCGAATCCCCCCCCCAAAAAGCTGCTTCCGAAAACCTCAACCTCAACCCCGAAAGCCTTAAGACTTCAACTCCAAGCCCTAACACGTCAGCCCCGAACAGCCCCAAAACTTCAACCCCTGAACCCTAAAATCCTAGAACCTTAAAACCCAAAGTCCTAAATCCTGAACCCTAAAACCCGAAGACCCTAGAACCCTACACCTTAAAGCCCTAAGCCCCAAGCCCTCATCTGTAGGTGGGCTGCATCTCCTGCATGCACTTCCTGTGCATCACCATGCGCGCCTCCGATCGGCGGTTCCTGCGCCTCGGTTCGATGTGGGAGGGCTCTCGGGTCCCGGGGTCCAAAGCCCCGGAAACCCTAAACCCCAGGGGCTTAGGATTTAGGGTTTAGGGTTTAGGGTGTCGGGTTTGGGGTTTAGGGTTTAGGGTTTCTTAAATTTGCTACACCTCATAAACCCCAAACTCTAAACTCTAAACCCTGCGCTCTACAGTCAGAACCTCTGAAACTCTGAGCCCTAAACCCCAGAAGGCCTAAACCGTAAATTCTACATCTGACATGGACCTCTGCGAACCTGTTTCTTTTTGAAGATCTCAGGTCAGCGGTTCGCTAAGCCCGAAACTTTAGACCCTAAACTGTAAACCCCAACCCAAACCCTAAATACAGCCCTGAACCCTAAGCCCTAAGCCCTACGCCCTACGCCCTAAGCCCTAAGCCCTAAGCCCTAAGCCCTAAGCCCAAAGCCCAAATCCCTAAACCCTTAATGAAGCCCTGCACCCGGAGCTTGCTGCTAAAGCCTTGCAGCCACGTCACGGCGCAGGTCTTGCTTGGAAGACAGTCTCAAGCACGTCCGCACGGCCTCGAAGGACCACTTCTGGGCGGGGTGGGGGTGGGGGGATGGTTTGGATTCCGGTCGAAAGTTTAGGGTTAACCCCAGGCGGTAAACCCTGGACCCTGAACCCGAAACCCTAGGCCCTAAACCCAAAACCCTGGACCCTGAACCCTAAACCCTAAACCCTAAACCCTAAACCCTAAACCCTAAACCCGAAACCCTAAACCCTAAACCCTCAGCCGGTTTGACTGGTTTAGGCTTTCAGGGTTTTAGGGTCTCGGGTTGTAGGACGCAGTGCATCCTTCTCAGCCTCTGGTTGGACTTAGGTTTCAGAGATGAAGCTCAAGCTTCTTAGCCAAGCCTAAGCCCTAAACCACCTCTGCCAGGTGGGAAACCCAAAGCCCGGGTTTAGGGTTTAGGGTTTCAAGGGTTAGGGTTTAGGGTTTCAAGGGTTTCAAGCGTTTCAAGGGTTTAGGGTTTCAAGGGTTTAGGGTTTAGGGCCCTTCGGAATCTTGAAAGCTTCTGAGCGGGGCGGCTCCAGAAACCCCTACCCTACACCTTAAACCCGAACCCTATACATCCGACTGGTTTAGGGTTGTAAGGTTTTGGTTAGAGGCCTGTTTGTGGGTTGATGTACATTTTTGATATTTCCCCGAAAGGAAATGTCAAAATGCTACAAGGCAAAAGACATATACGATTTCATTTGGTGAAAATACTATCTTGCGTATAATCGTCGAGAAGCTTGAGTGTGCAGTTATCAAAATATCGCTCATATCTTCGCCATTATGATCACATATGGGAATGGATGCTTCTGATCTTTGCCAAATCACAATGAAGAAACTGGCGTCGCGTTCCTCTTTGATCGCAGGGGCTTTGGCGCGTCAATTTTTTTGCGAAGAGAGGAAGGGAAAACTTCGGTAAATTAACAATGTTTTCGTGGCTTTGTCGGTCTTTGTACCTCAATAATTCAGGCTGCCAAAGACTTGGCGCAGCTACTTGCAACCACTTCTGGTGCACAAGGAATGCACGGCATTTACTTTGTTTCATGGCCTTGAAAAAGTGCGTTCTGTCTACGCGTTCGGCTGGCTGCTGTCTTGGAAGAATCGGCATGGACAATGCTTCGTGCATTTCGCATGTTTTACATGTCTGCTTTGTTTTGTGGTTGCCGGTTAACGATTGCCTTTAGAGTTTAATTTAGGTTCAGGGTAGCGGCTTGACAAATGAAACGTCAATGTCGTCAAAGATGCTCTATTTATGCCGAGATAAGATAGAACTTCTGAACTCTTGAGTGAAGTGAAATCTCTCGTTTGTTTCTGATAAAGACGATAAACTTCCAAAGTAAGATCCTTAGCGGGTCTCTTGTCGTGCTTCCAAACATCGAAAGAGAAGACCTCCAAAGAAGGTGGCCCCCGAATCGCTAAGACCTGACTTAGGGCTTAGGGCTTAGGGCTTAGGGTTTAGGGTTTAAGGTTTAGGGTTTAGGGTTTAGGGTTTAGGGTTTGGGGTTTGGGGTTTGGGGTTTAGGGTTGGCGAAACCTGGATATACGAAATATGTATTACGCTTGTCACCGAAGAAAATCCCATGTGTTTTTTGCGAAGACAAGAATGAAATATATAGATGATTCATTCGCCCAATAAAATTGACACTTGTCTTTGGGGGAAATACGAAATATGACTTCCGTAGGCAAATTAAATCATCTAATTTGGCAAAGATAAACCCCAAACCCGCCTAAAACCCTAACTCCTAAATTCGGGGGATTATTGAAGGAGCGCTTCAACCAGCTCCGCTCGGACGTGGAAGCCTTTCTTGGCGAGGCACGCCTACAGGTTTGGGGGTTTTAGGGCTCAGGGTTTAGGGAGGGGTAAGTCCCCCAAAGCCCAACATCCCCAAAGCCGAAATGCAAAACCCCGAAACCCAACATGTCAACAAAACCACCAAAACAAACACCAAAGCCCCGAAACCTCTTAACCCCCTAAGAAGCTCTCAAACCCTGAAGCCCTAAACCCTACTGTAAACCTTCAGCCCTAAACCCTCAACTGCCAGGTAAACTTTGCGGCGGCCCGACTCCGTGAGTTCAACGCTGCAGCGGAGGAGCCTCATGCCAAGGCGCATTGGGAGGGGGGACTGATCCTGGGGATGAAGGTTTCGAGGTTTTAACCCTGTCAGGGTTACCCTAAACCCCCAAACCCTAAACCCTAAACCCTGAACCCTAAACCCTAAACCCTAACTTTAGAACCGAAGACCTACAGCTTAAACAAAAACTTATAGTGGGGTGGTTTATGTGTTTTGGGTTTTTGTGGGGTTAGGAGCAATTTTGGGGGGTTAGCGCTTTTGGGGGGTTGGGGTGGGGAGGGGAGAGGATGAGGCTTGGGAAGGGTGAGGGCTTGCCCTCTCGTGCTTCTTGTTGGCTTAAATACCCCCCCCCCCCCCCCCCCAAAGCACCCGACATGATAGCACAGATAGCCCTGTGACGTTGTGAAACCTCCAACCCTAAACCCTAAACCCTAATCCCTAAACCCTAGACCCGAAACCCTAAACCCTAAACCCTAGACCCTAAACCCTAAACCCTAAACCCTAAACCCTAAACCCTAAACCCTAAACCCAGTCTCCTCTTCCACTAGCTCGGCGGCCTTCGCTGCGTCTTGAGGCTCCGAAGAAGCACGCAGAGGCCGCATCGCCAGGAGCATCTCCCGCAGGCAGCACCTCCGGTTGTTTGCAAAGCCTAGGCCTTCAACCCTAAACCCTAAACCCTAAACCCTAAACCCTAAACCCTAAACCCTAAACCCTGAACCCTGAACCCTGAACCCTGAACCCTGAACCCTAAACCCTAAACCCTAAACCCCAAACCCTAAAGCCTAAACCCTAAACCCTAAACCCTGAACCTTGAACCCTGAACCCGAGCTCAGAAGGGTTTGTGCGAGCAATTGGGGCCAAGAGACGTTGCACATTCAATTCCAGGTTTAGAGGATGCGGGGTATTTTCTCATCGGGTTTGGGGTTTAGGGGGTTAGGGTTTAGGGCGTATTGGTTTAGGGGTGTAGGGGTGTAGGGTTTTAGGGGTTTCGGGGCTCAGTGGGCTCAGCAAGCTCAGTGGGCTCTCACAGTGAGATCCAATTCCCAGGTTTGGCTCACAGCGATTGTCGAGTACTGTCTCCAGGTTTGCCGGCTCGTTTTCGTGTGAAACCACTGGCTTCACGGTCCACGCCCGACCCCGAAATCGCAAGCCTATGCAACGAGCAGGTATGTGGGGTGTGTTTGGGTGGACGAACGTGCCCACCTCATAACCATAGCACCTTCCACCCACATGTGAGGGTGTGTTTATTCATTGGCTAAGGCTAAGGGCATCGGGGCTCAGGCTCATGATTCATGTCTGGGGCGTTTCTGGTGAAGAGTTGGCCCTCGTCCCTGTGGCGGAGATTGGGGATGTCAGAACGCTAAAGCGACGTTTGCAGAAGGCCCACGGCTTCCCACGCTTCCGGCAGAGGCTCTTGTGCGATGGCTCCATCCTGGATGATGCTGCCCTGCTGGATTCGCCTGTCCACCTGCACCTAGTGGTGCTACCCTATCCCGAGCCTCACATCGCTCAGGAGAGTGCGGACGAGCTCGTTGCGGCCGTCGCGTTCACCTGGGTGTCCGAAGTGGAGCGCATCCTGGGGGGTCCACAAGATCCAAACTTGGCCGATGCCCGCGGCTCCAGGCCCCTGGTCATCGCAGGAAGCAATGGGCGTGTGGAGCTGGTGAGGCTGCTCCTGGAGGCCATGGCCGATGCGAATCTGGCGGATGGTGATGGGGACAGGGCCCTCATCTGCGCAGCGAACGAAGGCTGCGAAGACATCGTGCGCCTGCTGCTGGAGTCGAAGGCAGACAAGGATGCAACCGACAGCTTCGGCCGCACGGCGCTTCGCTGTGCTTCCATGGAGGGTCGCCTGGATGTAGTGCGTTGCCTCCTGGAGGCAGGTTCTGACAAAGACTTAGCAGACAAGAACGGAGACTAGGCTGGCCCTTGAGACATTTCATGTTTTCCCTTAACTGGGGTTAAGAGGATCATATTCAGGAATATCTTTCAGAGGGTCTGAAGGGCCATCACTAGGAGATGACGCCCTGGCTTGTGCGAGTTTTGGGGGCCATGGCGGTGTGGTGCAAGTGCTGCTGGAGGCGAGAAGCAGGGTAGATAGCTGCAATCAGGATGGCGAGACGCCGCTCTGCTATGCATCCAAGGAGGGCCATTTTGAAGTCGCGCGCTTGCTGTTGGACGCCAATGCTTGCCCTCGCACAGCTGACGAGGATGGAAGGTGAGCGTGTTGTCACGCGGGGTGCATGCCTGTTGTCGCACGCCGGCTTGTGACAAATGGCAACACTATTTTGGGCTGGAACCTCAAGGCTTCTTTTGCTTTTAGTTAGGGTGAGGACCCAACAAGATGCCCCATACTCCCGACGTCTTTGCCGTCACCAGCCATCCGAACCCCCTCCCACCCGCTCAGGACCCCCTGAACAGATGAACACAAAACCCGAAGTTGCGCAGGCTTTTTCTCATGAGACTGATATACACATATATCGATCTGTGGATGTTCATGTGAAGTAAGCCGCACCCCAAGCCCTAAACCTTTGCAGTTTTTGGATAGCCAGTGTTGGGACCCCTCGTTTCTCTGGCCCACTGCTAGGACGTAGAGGTTGGAAACGTAAACCCTAAACCCTAAACCCTAAACCCTAAACCCTAAACCCTAAACCCTAAACCCTAAACCCTAAACCCTAAACCCTAAACCCCTAACCCTACACCCTAAACCCTAAACCCCTACCTCTAAACCCTAAACTCTAAACCCTAAACCCTAAACCCTAAACCTCTCTTTCATAGATAATTTAAATGTTAAGGAGTTACTGGGCAAGGTCATTTTTTTACTGGGCAAGGTCATTTTTTTACTGGGCAAGGTCATTTTTTTTTACTGGGCAAGGTCATTTTTTTACTGGCTGGGCAAGGTCGTTTCGTCCAAAAAAACGACCTTGCCCAGTAAAGAATGACCTTGCCCAGAAAAAAATGACCTTGCCCAGTAAAAATGTTACTGGGCAAGGTCATCTTTTTACTGGGCAAGGTCATCTTTTTACTGGGCAAGGTCATTTTTTTACTGGGCAAGGTCATTTTTTTTGCTGGGCAAGGTCATTTTTTTGCTGGGCAAGGTCATTTTTTTATTGGGCAAGGTCTTTTTTTTACTGGGCAAGGTCGGTCCATAAGCTTAATGTTGTGGGATTCTTCGGGCGGGTGGGTATTTTTCTGGAGTAATAATTTCTTGACTAGTGAATGCTTGGACTTGAGATGCTGAACCCTAAACCCTAAACCCTAAACCCTAAACCCTAAACCCTAAACCCTAAACCCCAAACGGTTGTGGAACTTAGTTAGGGGGCACAGCGCTGCCTTCAGAGCCCCACTTCCTTCTTCCCGTCTTCCCTTGCTTGACCAGGCAGCGCTCAACAGGAAACACAGTTTAGGGTTTAGGGTTTAGGGTTTGGGGTTTAGGGTTTAGGGTTTAGGGTTTGGGGTTTGGGGTTTGGGGTTTGGGGTTTGGGGCGAATCATTGACTCAGGCCCTCTGTAAAGCCCAAACCAAGACCATGCCCCAACTCCCCTCCCGCCCCCAACAAGCAACCCCAACCCCTGCAACTAAACCTTTCAACAGCCTTTCTTGGGGATTGGTTCTTAGCTGTTACACGGTCGCTACTTCCACCTACCTACCCATGACCCGCTAAACCCTGAACCCTGAAGCAGCCAAAGGCGAGAATGAAAAGGATGGCAAAGCAGCGGAAGCTTCCTCCCCCAAGGCTGTCGCTGCTCAGGTTTTGGGGGTTTGCTGTCTATCTTGGGCTTCGGGTTTAGGGTTTCGGGTTTAGGGTTAGGGTTCCAGGTTCTTGGGCGTTTCAGTTCAGGAGCATCATGGGCCACAGACAAGTTTTCTGGAGCATGTCGTTGAAGGCCCCAGCGGTTTGTGAACGAGTATTCACCGTCGAATTCCCCTAAAAAGCCTAAAACCCTAAATCCCTCAAAAACCCAGACCCTAAAACCCTTAAAACCCTGAAGCCCCAAAACCCTAAAAGCTAAAGCCCTGAATCCCTAAAACCCGTAAAACCCTAAAGCCCCAAAAGCTAAAACACTCATATGGGGTAGGTACCTCATTCCCTCATTCCCTACTAAGAACCAGCCAACTTTTCGTCTGACTAGGGTGCAGCGGCCAAAGACGAGCTCGAAGCAGCGGACACCTCAGCCGAGCTGCAGCTATCAGCCTGAAGCCCCCTGGCCCCCTAAACCCTATGCGCTAAACCCTAAACCCTAAACCCTAAACCCTAAACCCTAAACCCTAAACCCTAAACCCTAAACCCTAAACCCTAAACCCTAAACCCTAAACCCTAAACCTTAAACCCTAAACCCTAAACCCGACACCCTACACCCTACACCCTACACCCTAAACCCCAAGCCGAGTTTACGGCCCCAACCTAGAACGATAAGCCAAAATCACCGGTGCCACCGACCCACGAGGCGCCTTGGCCAGTGATGACGGAGGAGGTCCCTGCGGCTTTTGGCATTTGTTGGGTTTGGGGTTTTGGGGTTTTCGGGTTTAGGGCTGGGGGTTTAGGGTTTAGGGTTGAGAGTTTAGGGTTTGTGGGCCGCACGTTAAGCGAGTCCATGGCCCTGCCCCCGCATGCGCACATACACATGTGCACCTGGGCTTTTCCTGCTGAGCCCAGCGCACCACCAGGGCTGTCTTGGCTCTTGGCAGGGTCGATGCCGATTTCGAGCCTTCCCTGCCTTTGCTGAAGACCCTAAGAAGTCTAAAGAGCCTTGAAGTGGGAAGAGGGCCCAAGGCACGCAGAACCACAGAGCTGGTCGGGGGGGGGGGTCTCCTACCACTGCCACTACCACTACCACTACCACTACCCCTACCCCTACCCCTACCCCTACCCCTACCCCTACCCCTACCACTACCACTACCACCACTGATATATATATATATATATACATATGTATCATACACACACACACACACAAGCCGACGCCGCCGCCATGGGGCCATGGCGATGCAGCCACGGCAAGGAGCAGGAGGCCCCGAAAAACAAAGGTGGATTCATGTTGCGCTGAGGGCTTCAAGGGTTCGAAGGCGAAGGAATGGTGTAGGGTTAAAGAGGTTTAGTATCTTAGGGTTTAGGGTTTAGTATCTGATATTCGGGTAAAGGGTTTAGGTTTAGTGTATCAGCCCCACGCCCCAGACCCTAGCCCTAAATCCCAAAGCCCGAAGCCTCAAACCCCAAGCCTGAAACCCGCAATTCTGCAGGGTACATGGCCGCATGCCCGGCGCTAGTCGGCTGCTTAGCGTCCAGGAACTGGGAAGTTCTCCAACATGTTGGTCATTTCTTTTGTTTCATGGTGGTTTAGGGTTTCTGGTTTAGGGTTGGGGGTTTAGGGTTTTTGGGTTTAGGGGTTTAGGGTTAGGGTTTAGGTTTCAGGGTTTAGGGTTCAGGGTGTATTTGGGGGGGCGGGAGGGGGCGGGGGTTGGGGAGGAGGGTGCCGAACAAGCGCACGGACTGTTACTCATAAAGCTTTAGGGACCACGTGAGCCCCAATAAATGGAATCGTCGACCTTTGCAACTATAAATTTCTACCAGGTATGCAAACACTAAACCCTAAACCCGTAAACTCTTAGGCTTCATGTCGCCCCCAAGGGGTCCTCCCCTGAACACCCAAGCCCCTAAGCCCAAGACAAAAAAAGCTACTTAGGGTTTTGACCAACCAAAGGTTTAGGGTCAGGGTTTATAGGGTTTAGGGTTCAGGGTTTAGGGTTTAGGGTTTACCAATATAGGGTCTAGGGTTCTGTTTTTTTGCGCATAAGGTCTAGGGCTGAGGGCTCTTCGGCTGCGCCCAGTTTATTGGAAGGTTGTTAAGGGCTTGGGGGTTGGGGGGGGTGGGGGGGTGTTTTTTGTAGGTTTAGGGTCTAGGGTTTAGGGTTTAGGGTTCCTACTCTGGTAACGGGTTTGAGCCCTAAACCCCAAACAAGCCCTAAACCCCTTCACCCCATGTTGCAGCATTGGCGTTCAAGAGACCTGGGGAAGGGGGGCATAGAGATTCCGCGGGCTCCGCAATTGGAGCCTGGGCAGTCTTCGCCGCAGGCAGGGGTTTAGGTGTTAGGGTTAGGGTTTAGGGTTTAGGGTTTCGGGTTTAGGGTTTAGGGTTTAGGGTCCGGGAGGGCCGCGCCCTTGGCCTTTGTCGAGTTCTTGGTGTTCTTTACCTTGCGAAGCTTCGGGAACCTTAAGCCCTACACCCCAGAATGCCCCAGAACTGATGGAGGTGCAGCTGGTCCAGAGACCTGTGCCCTCAACCCTAAACCCCTAAACCCCTCAACTCTAAACCCTCAGCCCTGTGTTGTGGAAATCTTCCCATTTCTGTTGTGTGGGGTTTTTGGGAGACTTCGAACTCTTTGAAAAGTTAGTTGACTGCCCTGCTGCGCGAGTCCCGTCGTGTCGTCAAAACGTTTAAGCATTCGGTTAAGGGTGACACAGCTGAGGGTTTAGGGTTTAGGGTTTAGGGTTTAGGGTTTAGGGTTTAGGGTTTAGGGCTTAGGGTTTAGGGTTCAGGGTCACAGGAACGGGAATGAACGCAGGCTGAGTGCCAGCCTCGTGAGGAGAAGGTTAAGCAGGCGAACATCAAGTTTGCTGTTCGAAGTCATATCCAGAATCGCAGAAATCAGAGCTGAATCTCGCACGCTTTCCTCAAAGATACTGCAGAGGTTCGGGGCTCTGGATGTGTGACGATTTTGTGCGGCAAGAAGAGACGTTTGCTGACCCCTATTTTGAAACCTCCCTATTAAGGACTTCTAGGAAAAGGGGGAACATCCCAGCCCTGAACCTTAAACCCTGAAACCCGGAAAGGCCATGTCGAACATGATCAAGCCGCAGATTATCCTCCTGAAGGACCTCTGAGCCCATAAGCCGGGGGTGGGGGGGGGTGGGTTCGGGGTTTCGCGTTCAGGGTTTTAGGGTTTTCGAGAGGCCCCCTAAAGAACTCTCCAATTGTGCGGTGACCTTTGTTGCTTTGTGTCGGTTGGTCTTTGCAACCACTTGAGCCCCACCTAAGAACCCGACACTCCTGAAATCACATTGGGGTTGTGGGTTTTCGGGTTTAGGGTTCGGGGTCGCCCGAAATCTATAAAGAGCTTCAGGAAATGGAAAGAGTTGGGTCCTAGTATACAGTTTGCTCTCCCTTGTGGTCACTCTGAAGGGTGGTTTGGGAGCCTGACGCAATTCTAGGGACGAAAAGACTCGAAGGGTGAAAAATAGGGTTTAGGGTTTAGGGGTTAGGGGTTTAGGGTTTAGGGGTTTAGGGCTTAGGGGTTTAGGGGTTTAGGGGTTTAGGGGTCTAGGGGTTTAGGGTTTAGGGGTTTAGGGTTCTGGGTTTGGGGTTTAGGGGTTCAGGGCCGCTTAGGGCACCCCTTGCAGGATGGAACTGACAGTTCGCAGGGCAAGGGCCAGATCATCAGCAACATCAATGCTTGCCAGGCCGTCCTGGCCCCAGAGAGCGCTCTTTCCGGGGGCTTCCCGGGCTGCGCTTCCAAAGAAAGCCGACCCGAAACCTTAAAACCCTAAAACCCTAAAACCCTAAAACCCTAAAACCCTAAAACCCTAAAACCCTAAAACCCTAAAACCCTAAAACCCTAAAACCCTAAAACCCTAAAACCCTAAAACCCTAAAACCCTAAACCCTCAACTCCAGGAGGTCTGAAGCCCAAGCCCTAAATCCTAAGGGCCCTCAACCCCAAAGCCCTAAACCCTAAACTCTGAACCCTATGTGCCCTAAACCCTCATTTCTACTTGGAGGTTCCTGGCTGCTTCTACCCCCAGTTCTAATCGACTTCTAACCTGCTTAGAGGCCTTAGGGGGGCTCACAAGTACTGTCATATTATGGGTTATAAGTATCCTAACCTCCAAGTAAGGTCTCCTAAGTAGAGGGCGTAAAGGGCTGAGAGGGCTGAAGCTGAGGTGGTCAACATCGTGAAATCCACGCTGGGCCCACGCGGCATGGACAAGCTGTTGGAGGTAGCCACGCATAAAGACCCCCTACACCCTGACCACCCTAAACCCTAAACCCCTACCCCTGAACCCCTAAATCCTAATATACCCCAAACCCGACAGCACGAATGGAGCCCCGAGCCTCATGAGCTAAAGCCTTAGCCATGCTTCGATCTCGAGTCTGCTGAGTGGGTCATATGAGCCGATGGCATTAGGATGGCAGCGGCACGACGATCACCAACGACGGCGCCACCGTCATGAAGAAGCTGAACATCGTTCCTCAGCTCAACCCTAAACCCGAGACCCTGAACCCTAAACTGGCAGCCTTCGACACAAACATCGCTTACCCAAAGCTTTTCAACCCCAAACCCAACATCTCGAGCCCAGAAAAGCAAAACCCCAAAACCTTAATTGGCCCTAAACGCTAAACCCTAAACCCTAAACCCTAAACCCTAAACCCTAAAGCTTAAAGCTTAAACCCTAAACCCTGAACCCTGAACCCTGAACCCTAAACCCTAAACCCGAAAAGCCTTGAGCCTTTTTGGACTTACCAGCCCATGGAAGAAGTCTTCAGGTCCACCCCGCAGCCAGGATCTTGGTTGACATCTCCAAGGCATCGCTAGCTCAGAACGTTCAGGGTTTGGGGCTTTAGGGTTTAGGGTTTAGGGTCTAGGGTTGTTTAGGGTTTAGGGTTTCGGGTTTCGGGCATGCTGCGTGGACCGTTGTGGGATCTGCTCTTGTCAAGTCGTGCCATGTGAGGGGTTCTAAGAACATCTTGCGCGTCCCCAAATGAGGTTTGCTAAACCCTAAACCCCAAACCCTAGACCCTGCACCCTAAACCCTAGACCCTAAACCCTAAACCCTAAGCCCTAAACACTGCGCACGGCTGCACCGCCAGGCCCAAGACAACGAAGTCGGTGACGGCACCACCAGCGTTGTCGTTTTGGCAGGCGAAAGGGACACCTCGCAGTCCGATTAGGGTTTAGGGGTTTAGGGTTTCGGGTTTCGGGTTTAGGGTTAGGGTTTAGGGTTGAGGGTTGAGGGTTGAGGGTTGAGGGTTGAGGGTTGAGGGTTGAGGGTTGAGGGTTGAGGGTTGAGGGTTGGGTTGGGTTTAGGTCTAGGGATCTAGGACCCGGAGTAGGCCCTTATTCCCCTTTTGTTCAAGTTCAGGTCCCTTTCTTAAGCCCCTCTTAAGCCAAAAGGACACACTTTTTTCTTCTTAGGTGACTCTTGGCTCTGGGGTGATGTTTGAAGGTGCCATTCCTCGTTGGCATTGCGTCCAGAACCACCCGCGCGCGGTAGGGCAGTTGTGGTTTTATTCGGCTTTAGGGTTTAGGGTTGGGGGTTGGGGGTTTGGGGTTAGGGGTTTAGGGTTGGGGCGTGGGGGTGGGGGGTTGGTGGTGTCCCATCATGCTGTGTTGCGCAGGTGAGCTGCTAAAGGAAGCAAAACACTTCCTGGAGGACCTTGGCCGAAAATGTTTTGAGGGGCCGAAGAGGGTCAGGAACCCTGAGCCCCAAAAAACCCTAGATATGGGTGTCGGTTCAACTAACTCTAAACCCTAAACCCTAAACCCTAAACCCTCAACCCTTAACCCTTAACCCTTAAAGCCTGAAGCCCTACAATCTTTGCCCCTGGTGAAGGACGGCTTAGTCGCCCCGCAGATCATCAAGGTGCCGTGGATGGGCTTTAGGCCCCAAACCCCAAACCCCAAACCCCAAACCCCAAACCCCAAACCCCAAACCCCAAACCCCAAACCCCAAACCCCAAACCCCAAACCCCAAACCCCAAACCCCAAACCCCAAACCCCAAACACCAAACACCAAACACCAAACCCCAAACCCTAAACCCTAAACCCTAAACCCCAAACCCTAAACCCTAAACCCCAATCCCCAAACCCCAAACCCCAAACCCTAAACCCTAAACCCTAAACCCTAAACCCTAAACCCCTGATTGCGACCAGGGCTACCGCATGGCTTGTAATCTCGCCGTCTCGAAGCTCCTCGACATGGCCGTAGACCTCAAGGACAAGTCGCCGGAGGCGGGGGGTTTAGGGTTTAGGGTTTAGGGTTTGGGGTTTGGGGTTTAGGGTTTAGGGTTTAGAGTGCTAATGTCGGGCTCTTCAAAGTGCGGTGTTCAGGGTTGGCTTATAGGGGCTCAAGGGCTGTTTAGGGTTAGGCTATTGGGATGCTTTGGGTGCCACTCTTTGGGCTAGAGCGTTTTTCAGGGTTTAGGCCTACAGTCTTTCGGGCTTTCAAGGTTGTTGTTCTCTCCGGCTCAGGACGGAAGGTCTAGAAAACTCAGGGATTCAAAGCTCGGGCCTGAGATGATAAGCCTCCGAGGTTTCCTCTTTGGGCTCAGCCTTCAAACTTGAAGCCTAGAAGCCCTCGCGCCAAAGCCCTAAACCAAGGAGCCCCAAAACCCTGAACCCCCGTACCCCCCTAAACCCCTCAAACCCCTCAACCCCATCAAGCCCCTCAAGCCCCTCAAGCCCCTCAAACCCCTCAACCCCCTAACACCTCCTTAAAGCCCTAAATCCTAAACCCTGAACCCCAAACCTCAAACTGCTCCTATCAAGCCAAGTCCTCCTGATGGTAGCGCCCAGGGGATTTCGTAGCGTTTAGTGTGGGCTTGGGATGTTCGCTTCTTATTTTCTTTGATGGAGGCTTTACACCATGAGCCCGAAACCCTGAACACTTCTGGTCTGCAGGAGAAGCGGTCCATGCTGATCAAGTGTGCAGAGACCACCCTGAATTCAAAGCCACCTGTCCATGGATCAGGGCCCTTTGCCGTTTAAGGTTTAGGGTTTAAGGTTTTAGGGTATTATTAGGGTTTTAAGGTTTTAGGGTACTATTAGGGTATTATTAGGGTATTATTAGGGTTTTAGGAGGGCATTATTAGGGTTTTAAGGTTTTAGGGTTTAAGGTTTTAGGGTATTATTAGGGTATTATTAGGGCTTCAAGGTCAAGGCCGGGGTGCGCTGGTTTACAAACAAAACACCCTTAAACAAGATCTGAGCAGCCCTAGAATCCCTAGAACCCGAAATCCCTCAGCCGAAGGCCCCGCACACCTTGAATCCCTAAAGCCCTAACAGCTCAATACCTGAAACCCTAAGCCAAAACTCAGACATCGAACGAACAAACCTGAACAAACCTCAAATCCTACACCCCTGATGCCCTAAAATCCACTATCCTTAAACCTTAAACCCTAAACCGTAGACCCTAAACCCTACACCCTAAACCCTACACCCTAAACCCCAAACCCTAAACCCTGAACCGTAAACCCTAAACCCTACCAGGCCCGAAAACAAAACTGCCACGATCGAACCGGTGTGTCTCGAATTCCTTCGGCTGGGAAGCCCGAGTCGTTTCAGGGGTTTTAGGGTTTAGGGTTTAGGGTTGAGGGTTGAAGTTTGAGGGTTGAGGGTTGATTGGGGCTTTCGAAGGTTTAGGGGGTTCATGGGGGTTCATAGGCTTGCGGGGTTTAGGGTAGGGGGTTGATTTATGATTATGCTCGTGGCCACGATTAGTGTTCTTATCATGAGAAGTCCCCCCGCCATTGCCGCAGGCAGGGCAGGCACTGTTCCGTAAACGTAAGCTTAGACCTTAAACCCTAAAGCACAGGGTTCGTGCTGCCCTTCCCACGTTAAGGACCCGACACGACCCTACGCCCTTCATACGTGGGAGACGCATGAAGCTGCGGAGTAGCCCCGAAGCCCAAGCGGTAGCCACTGTCTTTGCCCTCTGAGCTGACCAAGGCTTGTGGCCGATTACAAGACCTTTTTTGCCGAGATGTCCGTGGATGCCATCACACTTCTTGGCGATGATATGTCCGTTTCATCCGTCGGCATCAAGAAGGCCAGCAAGGTCTTTAGGGTTTCAGGGTCCGGGCCGGAATTTAGGGTCCAGGGCTTCAGGCCGGGGGAGAGGTACTGCAGCAGCAGCAGCAGCAGCAGCAGCAGCAGCAGCAGCAGCAGCAGCAGCAGCAGCAGCAACGGCACGAGGCTCGCCCACGAGCAGCCCTACATCAATCGATTCGGTCTCTTCTAGACAGGCAAATCGGGAGCTCGAAGGAAATAATCCTCTCTCCAGACCTGTATGTTCGGCTTGAGGGCCAGGCTATAGGATTCAGAAGCCGCTTTAAACAAACAGGCACCCTTCGTTTTTCTAGCGTACTGAGTAGAATAGAACAACTTGGCCATACAGCAGACTGGGCAGGTGACCGGAGGCTCTGTGACAGACACGCTGCTGGTCCCCGGCATCGAGGTTGCAGCTGGAAGCTTGTAGATGATGTTGGTGGTCTCGACCCTAAACCAACCCTGAACCATCTTGTCTTGACCCTTCACTAGCAGCTCAGAGTGACCCCCTGAGCCCTGAAACTTGTTTCCCTAGACCCTAAACCCTAAACCCTTCAACCCTCAACCCTAAACCCTAAACCCTAAACCCTAAACCCTAAACAAGAAAGGCCCCCCTGGCTTTCTCCTGAGGCGTGTGCTTCAAGAAGTGCTTCTCCTACGCGGGCTTTGAGCAGCAGCCGAAACGCTTCGAGAATGCCAAGATTCTGCTCCTGTGCCCCCCTCTTGTGTTAAGTTTCTTTCTTTTTAGGGTTTAGGGTTTAGGGTTTAGGGTTTAGGGATAGCGGTGGGGGGAGTTTAGGGTTTGTTTGGGGGGTTAGCAGTTCGGATTGCGTTGGGTTTTGGTTCCAGGCTGAACCTGAGACTTCAGCTGCGACGAGTGGTAAAGCTTAGGCTCCGCTGCTCTCCACCGTCCTTGGAAACAGCACAGGTTGCATGCAACCCTAACCCCTAAACCTTAAACCCAAGCCCTAAACCCTAAACCCTAAACCCTGAACCCTAAACCCAAAACCCTAGACCCTAGACCCTAGACCCTAAACCCTGAACCCTAAACCCTGAACCCTGAACCCTGAACCTTAAACCCTTACCTTTAGAACACCAGAACCCTAAACCCGCCCAAACCCCAGCACCCCAAACCCCCTAAATCCTAAACCCTAAGCCCTAAGCCCTAAACCCCAAACCCTAAACCCTAAACCCTAAACCCTAAACCCTAAACCCTAAACCCTAAACCCTAAACCCATAAGCCCTAAACCGCCAGGAATCTGGAACTCGAGCTGAAAGCCGAGAAGGACCGAGTCGATGGATGAAGCTGAAAGTGTGTGTTCAGCGTGTTCTAGGGCTACTGGGTTGTTGGGTTTTTGAGCTTAGGGTTTTGGGTTTGGGGTTGAAGTTTAGGGTTGGGATTTGGGGTTTCGACCTCATTTCGGGTTTGCAGATTTCGGGTTTCAGAGCCATACAATTGTAGGATGTAGCTTTTTGATCTAGGCTTTCTAAGTTAAGCCGGGTATTCTGTAGAGCTTAGCTTTTGATCGTCATAAGGGCATAAGGTGTCCAGGATCTCCGTAGCACCATGAAGTTGAAGTTAAGCCCGAGAACGCTTCAACCTTACCAACCCTAAACCCAACAAAATGGGTGGATCCCAAATTCATCGAGTGGAGGGGTTGGGGTGTGAGGTCTGTCCTAAACCAAGACGCTTGTTTTGCAAAGAGATGATCCAAGTTCACTATGGCGTGGTCTTCACAAGCTCTCGTCTGTTTCCGTGAGCCCAGCGGTTCCCCCCCCCCCCCCCCTTCTCTTCTACCCCCCGGCCCGCCAGTCCCTATACCCCAAACCCTAAACTCTAGAGTCAGTGAATGATTATCTTCACCGACCAAGAGAGCATGACGGCATCCCAGACCCCCCCTCCACCCGTTATGGGTTTCGGGTTTGGGGTTCAGGGTTCAGGGTTTAGGGTTTAGGGTTCAGGGTTCAGGGTTCAGGGTTTAGGGTTTAGGGTTTAGGGTTTAGGGTTTGGGGTTTAGGGGGTTTAGGGGGTTGAGGGAGTTCAGGGAAGTGCCCCTCACAGCTCGTGCATGGAAGTTAGTGTAGGCTACCTACTCCCGAAAATCCCTCCACACCCGATCCTTTTTATACGGTATATATATATATATATTATATATATATATTTATTTATTTATATTCATATTTATATTTCTATTTCTGTTTCTATTTATGTTTATATTTATGTTTATATACAGACTCTGAACCCCAAACCCTAAACCCTAAACCCTAAACCCTAAACCCTAAACCCTAAACCCTAAACCCAAAACCCAAAACCCAAAACCCAAAACCCAAAACCCAAAGCCCTAAACCCTAAACCCTAAACCCACATGGGGGGATAGAAGGTGCCTCAGTAGGATTGCGGGCCCCCTTAGCCTTCACCAAAGCTGCGAAGGACAACGCCGAGGTCCGGATCAGCGATCCCGACCAGCGCCTCGCAAGACCTCTTCTTTTGTAGGGTTTAGGGTTTAGGGTTTAGGGTTTAGGCTTTGGGCGTTTCAGGTTAGTTGGGGGAATACTCTTAAGGTTGATTCAGTCACAGCGTGGGTAAGGGTTTCGGGGTCAAATTCTAAACCTGATAATCCTCTTCAGGGTCTATGGCTTGGCAGCGCTGGGTTCGGTCTAGAGGTGTAGCGTGTAGCCCTAAACCCTAAACCCTAAACCCTAAACCCTAAACCCTAAACCCTAAACCCTAAACCCTAAACCCTAAACCCTAAACCCTAAACCCTAAACCCTAAACCCTAAACCGAAAAACCCTAAACCCTTTTACACCCTAAACCCGAAACCCTAAACCCTAAACCCTAAACCCTTAACTTGGGGGGAGGCATGGGGTTTGGGGGTTCAGGGTTTAGGGCTGCGAGCTCCCTTTCAGGTACCAGTCCATCGTAGATGCCGAGTGGAACATCATCTACGCCACTCAGCTGATGAGTGGAAGGTTCATCTGCAAGTCCTTTCTGGTTGATAATATAGGGGTTCGGAAAAATGACGAATAAAACTCCCTTATGGTCCCTTTATAATTATACAATAATCACCCCCAAACCCTCTTCTAATCATGAAGGCTCCTGCAGTAGGGAGTTCTCGGGATATAGGGGCTACGTTTTGGACGAACCAGCAAGAAGAGGGACTTCAGGCATGAAGACAAAGCCCCTAAACCTCCTGAAGCCATACAACCTCTCATTCCTTCAACAACACACCTGAAACCCCTGGTCCTCCACGCCCCCTTGAGCCCTCAACTCTAAGGAGCCGTAATTATTCTGTGAACCTCAGGAGAAGCTAGACCTGATCGCCAAATCGGGCGCAAACGTCGTTCTCAGCCGATTGGCCATCGGAGATCTGGCGACACAGCCGCTTGACCAGCCCGGGTTTAGGGCTGATTCGGGTTAATGTTGGGATGTTCTCCCTTGTTCTAACAGTCCTTAATAGGGACTATAACAAGGGGTACTATAATCCCTATTACGGACTATTTCTACAAGGGGGAACGCCCCAAGGTTGATGCTTTATAGGGGTTGGCTGGGGATTATGGTTATTCGGCTAGAGGGTTCATGAGTTGGGGAGTTCGATTTTTTCAGGGTTCAAAAGGGTGAGAGAATCGGGATGTAAGGCACCTAATTCCCTACTTCCCTGCTATGAGGCTCCGGAAGGATGGGATGGGGAAGAAAGGGTTTAGGGTTTAGGGTTTAGGGTTTGGGGTTTGGGGTATGGGGTTTGGGGTTTAGGGTTCAGCACGGGACGAGCGGAGTTCAGTTTTTGGAATTGCAGGATATCCCTAAACCCTGAACCCTGAAGCCTACTCAGGTTTGGTTATGGCTGGAGTCTTTCCATTTCAGGCCCACGCCCTAAGCCCTGAACAGCCTCAGGCCCATCCCAATACACCCTTAAAGCCCCCCACATACCGAAAAGGGTCTAGGGTTTAGGGTTTAGGGTTTAGGGTTCTGCTGGATGGCTGGTCTTGAGCGTCCGCAGAAGCTGAGGTATTTTGCAGACCGCAACATCTTCTGCGCCGGGCGCGTGGAGGCTGCACCGGGCGGGATCCATGGGTTCGCCCCGACATCGCAAACTGATTTGATGTAGCTTGGGGCTGATCATCGATTTAAGATTCAGAGCGTCTGGTCCAGTTTGGTCCAGAGGCTCCAAAAGCCCTTATCCAGCCTCATCCACACAGCTCTGCTTAGCACACCTGTAGGTCATGTCTGTATATCAGGTTTCGGGTTTAGGATTTAGAGCGTAGGGGTACACCACCCGCCCCCGGCACGCCAGAATCAGAAGCGTTTCCCCATCGTTGCCCGGGGGCCCCGAAACTTCAACTCCTGCCCATGAAGCCCGAGAGCTC